TACCGCTATTATTATTATTATTATTATTATTATTATTATTATTATTATTATTATTATTATTATTAATTAATCATTATCATTATTATTATGCGTACATACCAACAGTATCGGGTTTTGTAGCCTGAAGGTGCATATAGCCAAGTTCCAGCATCATAGCAGACATCTTTTCCGCTAGGGGGTGCACTTTATCTTCCAACTCCCTGCTGACGATCAGGGGAGGGTAAAAACTACCCAAGAACAGCTTCACGCCGGACAGGGGGGTGGTGATAAGGCACATATTAGAATGTACCGCCATTATTTTGTCAGGGAAAAGGGAGGCCATATTCTGGACTATAGCTGCGCCCCAATCGCCCCCTTGGAGGTAGTACTTCTCGTAACCAAGTCGCGCCATGAAGTTCTTGAAGACGATGGCCATTTGGGCGGAACCTAAGCCTGGCCTGGTGGCTGCTTCCGAGAAACCATATCCTGTAAAGAAAACATAAAATCTTTCTTATTAGATAAAAAATTGGTTAACTTAACTGGCAAGGACGGTGCTATAACCTCAAAAACGAAACTCCTCCCCTTCTGTGGGGTGGTGAGGAGAGGGATGATCTCGTAGAACTCCCTGACTGAACCTGGCCAACCATGGAGCAACAGTAAGGGCAACACCTTCACCCCCTTGGTTTCCTTTGGTTTGACATGCAAATAGTGGATTTTCAACCCCTGTACGCTGACTGTGAACTGGGGGTACTGGTTGAGGAACTTCTCCCTCTCCCTCCAGTTGTATTTCGTTCGCCAGAAGTCGATGATGTTCTTCAGGTGTTTGGAGTTTATCCCGTAATGCTGCTTGGCACCTTCTAGGGGTTCTTGGAAAGGCAAGGCGTTGGCTAACCTCTGCTGCAGATCTTTGAGCACCTGTAGAAAGTTTCAAGTCAATTCCTTTCTTCTATTATTATTAAATGATGTTTAAAAATAACTATATTTTTTAATTTTTATTTTTGTGATCACATACCCCATCAGACACGTTGATCTTGAAGGGCCTGATCTCCTTGTCTTCGTTGGAAGGGTCCCCAGGACCCCACCAGGTATTTTCTAGCGGAGGTAGGGTCGGTACCTCGTACAGAAATTTCACTTGTCGGTAAACTACTATCGAGAAAACAGCAGTTAACACTACCAGTGCGACACTGGTCTTGCCCATCTTCGGAAGTGTTTGATTCCCAACTGAGACTGAGGCGGCGTTTCGCTTATGGGTACATGATAATGTGCGTAACCTTCATGCGTTGTATCTAATTGTAGAATCCGAAATCCAAGCGGCGGAAATTTCCTACCTAGGCTTATATTTATAAAAAGTGCGTTTCGTTTTTGATATATAAGCTGATTCGTTTCGGTTTCAGTTGACGGGGTATTTCATAGGAATTGTGTAATATTTTGATTATATTAAATGCATTTTAAAATATATTTTAATTATATTTAAAAACATAGTGATGCTAAGAATACCTTAAACAGTCCATATTTTTTGCCATATTTTTTTTTGTAGATGGGGATTCTAAGAAGACATGTTTTTTTGAAATTTTACTTACAATTAATTTACTGTAAAGGATATATCCTGTTGCATATCACTAAAATGGATTATTCCGAACAAAAACGGATTTTAATTTTCTACTGTTGCAGTTTTAAATGTAATAAATCTAAATCTTATTGGACTTTTGAATTAAGTATTATTACTAGTAAATATTAAATATTTATACTAGTAAATCACCTATATGCTTACGTATCACTTTGTATACAGGGTGTTCTTTAAGTACGTTCCGATAATGAACGACAGAGAGGATTTTGTTTCCAAATATGTAGTTCGTATGTACATATTTATAATATTTCAAATATATTGTTTTATTATCTTTATAAGTTTGGGATCCTGCACAAATATCCAATTGGAGTCTAGTTTTATCTGCTGGTCCTTGGTGAGAAAATACGAACTAATCCTGTTTATTTAAAAAAATATTCCAAGTGACTCGTATAAATAGTTGTAATTCATATTTGAACTGTCGGTCGGTACGAGTCACAGTGATAAGATAAAACAAAAAATGATTGTCAACAATATTGGGAATGACTTGCAATACAAATAAATCGAATTTTCGTTTACGTAGGAAGTCATTTTATTATTATTGATTATTTTCTGTGAAAAACAACCTAATTCTATTTGATATGTTACATAAAAAATCAAATACGATTCATTAAGTTTTTAAAATTATGTGATAGCTGTTTTCTTATTTATTTCAAGGGTCAACATAATAGTTTTGTGTGTTGTAGGTTATCAAAAAACCTATATGCTTTAGAAAAAAATCTATCAATTACTGACAAAAAATAAGGTGTGTCATTTACCTAATATTTTCAAATCGACCTAGTTTGGCTTCGAAGCTTAATTCTTTTTGATACTTGCTCAATCTTGAAAATTTACCGGCGTGTTCGTGTCTTTTTGTGACACCTTGTATAAGATCTGATTTTTCGACAAGCATTTTCATTTCATGGTCAGTAAACAAAGATATTGTGTGCTACTTTGATTTGTGAAATACACTTTTAAAGAGCAACCAAAGAAACAATTCAGTTTAGCTGCTTATTGGAGGGCGTCATTAATCGTTTATTTCTTAGTTCATTTCACTCTTTAAAATTTTGAAATATGGCTTTGAAACACAGAAAAATAGTTTTGAGACGTTTTTTCTACTTTCTATTAAAAAAACGAGGTACGAATCACCCTGTGTAAAAAGTGCCTGCTGTTTGGTTTTTGTATTAAGCATATTTATATAAGAGGTGCTCAGTGGCGTATTTTGATTAAAAAATGGCACTGGTACTAAGTTTCTGCTTTTTTAATTGTGTGGGGATTATATCAATAAAAGATAAACAAGTAAATATGTATTTGAGTAAAAAAAATACAAATTTCAGTCTATTTCAGTTTTTCGACTTTATCAACAAATATGTAAACGTCTTCCCCTAGTGTTTCTGGTACTTCAAAAGCCGCAAAGTGTCCGCCGTCGTATTCAGCGGAATGAACAAGCTTTTTGTATTTAACTTCTAGGATAGAGTCGGGTTGGTATGCCAGTTCATAGGAAAACTTCGCGCAACCTGCAGGAACTTCCACAGGAATTCTAGAAGAAGTGCAATTAGTTAATAAGATTGCAAGAATTTCTGGAATTACTACTCACTTGTCTACTTGCAATCCGAATTGCGCCTTGTTCAACGTTTCAGAATACAGTCTCATCGACGTCGTGATAGATCTTGTCACCCAGTATATCATCACGTTGTCCAAGAGGTTAGTCAAAGAGTATTTCTTAGTGAGACCGCCGTCTTCCAAGTCTTTCCAAGCGGGATTAGTCCAGGTGGTGAATTTTTCCAAGATGTATGCCGCCAAACCCACTGGACTCTCCCGTAGAGCAACGCCTGTAAATTTTTAAAGAAAAAAATGATGCTTCCTTTCTATATCTGTCGACAACACCTACCAATTGTATCTGGCTTCGTCGCTTGCAGATGCAGATACCCGGTTTCAAGGACCAAATATAAATACTTTTCCGATAAGGGGTACAATTTGTGTTCGCTCTCTTCACTGATGACAAGGGAGGGGAAGTAACTTCCAATTATCGTTTTCAGCTGTGCTAAGGGAGTCAGGGTCGAGCACATGTTGGAATGTACCCCTATAATATTTTTCGGGAACAGCGTAGCGATGTGTTGTACTATGACACCTCCCCAGTCACCTCCTTGGATATAGTACTTTTCGTAGCCCAGTCGCTTCATGAAGTTCTTGAAGACGACGGCCATTTGGATAGCACCCAATCCGGGCCGAACTGCTGCCTCTGAGAAACCATAACCTGTGGACAATAAGACCTATGCTTATCGGCTGTTATTGCCGATCTTTGGGAAACAACCTCTCAAAGATGTTAAGGGTCCTACCAGGCTATTTGGGTAATGATGATGATGCCTATGTTCGGACGGTACAAAAGTGAGCATTAAAAATTGATTTCATTTTGATTCTGCAAAGATGGTGATGAATTCATAGCTAAAGACGATGAGAAACATTTTAAAATGTGAAGAATAAGAGTACTTAACTGGAAGAGAAGGCGCTATGACTTCAAAAACAAAATCCCTGCCCTTCTGTGGCTTCGTGAGCAGAGGAAGCAACTCGTAGAACTCTCTGACTGACCCAGGCCACCCGTGGAGGAGTAACAAGGGTAAAACTTTCAACCCTTTGGTTTCCTTCGGCTTGACGTGCAAGTAGTGGATTTTCAACCCTTGTACGCTGACTGTGAACTGGGGGTACTGGTTCAGGAACTTTTCTCTCTCCCTCCAGTTGTATTTGGTGCGCCAGAAATCGACTATGTCCTTCAAAAGGTTGGTGTTTATACCGTAATTTTGCTTCACGCCTTCTAGCGGTGGTTGAAATGGTAACGCGTTCGATAGTCTTTGCTGAAGATCTTTGAGCACCTAAAAAGATGTTATCAGCGTAAAGGCGACGTCACGATTTTGATTAAGTCTTTAGTAAACTACGATTGAAAAATGAATTTGATACTGACATTACGTTGCTATTTTTGAGTTTAAGAAATTTAGATTGTAATTACTTGCATTTTTACACACACTATCATTACTTACATTGTCAGAAACACTGATCTTGAACGGCCTTATCTCGGTGTCCTCTTTGGACGGTTCCCTAGGGCCCCACCAGGTGTCCTCCAGGTTAGGCAAGGGCGGTATTTCATAAAGGACGTTCACTACCTTCCTGTATATCACGGCGGCGACAATAGCGAATATCACCGCGGTTACTATACGGCACTTACCCATTTGATTGCGAGGAGAACCGACACGTATATCACCGTGTCTAAATGTGTACTATTCGTAGCTCCCTCCTCCGGCAAGTCCAATCCTTGGCCTTTAATTCAATGATGATAAGTTATTAGGGAGCCAGCGGCGTACCTTACAATTTTTATTTTTAAATCAATTAATTTTAAGTTACATATTTTACCTTGTAAAATGTATGGAATAATAAAGTGCCACTGGAATTCTGCCTCAGTATTTTTATTAATTACTTATGTTTCTACTTCTACTAACAAAAGTAAATTAAACACTGTGAGTTTCTTCTTAAAAACCTTTAACTTGTTTTTTTATTAAACACTTTCAATATACTTATGTTTATTTCAATGTTTTTGAATCGTAGTTTTCTTCCAATAATAATTATTAATAATCATTAAATGCAGTATTTTAATTAAATAAATAGTAAATAAGGAATTTAACCGAAAAAATCTTAAAAAACAAGCTTTAATTTAAAGATACAGAACCGTTCTTCCTATTAATTTATCACTTCAACATTAGGTATCTGCTAATAATAAAATTTCTACACAGACTTATAACTAGGTACAGGGTGATTCACTATATTTTGACCCCCCTTTAACTTTTTTATTTTAAGACTTATAAAAAAATGTGAAATACAAAAGTTGTACGATTTTTTATAAAATTTTCGAATATGATAGTAAAAAAACAAATGAAGATCAAACAAAATGGCCGCGGATGTTAACATTGTTAATTTAAATGGAACACCCTGTATATTTTTACACATTTGGATAGAACGTTCCCTGTCGAGCACAGTCATATATGGTTTGTTGGGTCCATATTGTTTTTCTACTATCATTTTCGAACACTTCATAAAAAATCGTGCAACTTTTGTATTTCACATTTTTTATAACTTTTAAAACAAAAAAGTTAAAGGGAGGGGTCAAAATATAGTGAATCACCCTGTACATTAAAAAAAAAGAATCGTCAAAGTAAACTAAAGCCTTAAAAACTTAAAATAAATAAATCATGAGCTCGTAGAGAAACCACTTTAACTGCTCAGTTATTTGTAGAGAAACGAATTGAACGCATGAACGAAACGAACTCCAGTCAAGAACTTAAGACGCGCGTGATTTTTAAATTTCTCGATTTCTCGATTTCTCGACACTTTTTTCTCGTCTCGAGTAAGGCCAGATTTCCCGGGAATTCTCGCTTCGAGAAGTCTCGACCAGAAACCCTAATAAGTACGTAATCGGGAAAGATCTTCAATTGTTTTCTGAGAGTAGAATTTAAAACTTCTTCGTCTGATCTAACGTTAACCACTGTGGGTATTGTTGAAATATAAATTAAAGCTCATTATTCATTATTACCGATTATCTTCTATGAGGAATAAATCGGGTTCTATTAGAGATTTTGAATCAAAAATAAAATACTTATTTTATTGTAATAGTTACTAATGTTTTGTTAAATTATATAGTACGAATTGCGAGCTGATGGGAGATATTTTTATTTCTTATTTTAGAAATAAGAAAGGGTCCAATTTCTCACGATCCTTTTATTTTTGAAAAAGACTACAGGTTTCGCGGTCAAACTTTACACCTCATTTTGAATTCAAGAAGTTTATACTGTCTATCTTGTGACTGTACTTGTTTGTAGTTACAAAGTTTATTATAGAGTGATAAGATTCCACAGGGATTAAGTAGGTAATAGTTAATTTTGTTTTTATCATTGGTCGTATCCAATTTTACAAATAGCGCATAAGATTACCAATTCCTAGTGAACTTACGGTTAATATTTAAACAAAGATAATTCAAAATTATATTTTGCTGTTCTCAGTTGATGTAATATTAAAAGATATGTCTATGGACCTTAATTATTTTTTAATTGCAGTGAAATCATAAATATATAGAATTAGATTAATAGAGGATGACTTGGCAAAATACGGAATGGATTACTTGCGTTTTTACATACACCATCATTACTTACATAGTCAGAAACAGATTTTGAATGGCCTTATCTCAGTATCCGCTTTGGACGGTTCTTTAGGGCCGCACCAGGTGTCCTCCAGGTTAGGCAAGGGCGGAATCTCGTAAAGCACGCTCACTACTTTTCTGTATATAGGGTGTCTCATAATTAGTGTCCAATAATTTATCACTTGATGAAAAAATAATTTTTTTTTAATATTTCTGAAATGGGTTGAAGGAAAATTATGAATTTTGACATCGTGAACGCTCATTCAAGTTGAAATAGTTTATAATAAAATTTTTTAAAAATTTTAGTCAGGGGCGTCTCAATTGGGGGGGGCATCGGCTAAAATTTGCCCCAAGTTTTTTGCTTGGCGAAATATTCAAATTCAGAGGCACATATGATAAACCTCATTTCCTCTACAATAAAGGTACTCTTTATTTCCCCCTTAGGAAGCATACCTTACAAATTTTATTTTTAAATTAAGTATTAGATACTTTATATAAAATGTTTATTAAACCATTCGTTGTTTTTAGCGGCAAATTTTGATTAAGTACATGAATACTTTACATTGAATCAGCTTTGGCTTTATGTTTATTTCGAGGGTACACTATATTTATTAGAAAAGTTAACACATTTTCAAAAGTAATGTATAGTACATTATAAAGATTTTCCTAATATTTTTTCTGTTCTCTACAGGACTCAAGAAAAGAGCCAGAGATTCCAATATTGTCTTCGTATCATTGTGGTAACTCAGTATGTAGTAATAGTGATTTTTTCAACCGGAAAATTATTATATTTTCAATAATATATCAAAATATCCTCTTCCCAGTTCGTAAGCTCTCTGAATATGAATTAGGTACATATAAACAAGTAAATATTTATTTTAGTAAAAAAATTACAAAGTTCAGTCTTTTTCAACCGTTCGATTTTATCAACGAATATATAGACGCCTTCTCCTAAATGTAAAAAAATGCTATTTGGATGTTGGATGTAATATTTTGAAAATGTAATGAAGATGTACGGTTTTCATTTAAAAATTATTATCATCATAAAGAAATTATGTTATTAATATATAATGAAGGCAAATGAGGATGCAATATTGAATTAATTTGGTCATAAAAATAACTGAAGGTCATGTTTTCAATGTTATTTAAAATATGTAATATCGGCATCTTGCTAATTGTCACTAATTTAAGAAATTTAGAACTTTGGTCCACTATCTTGTGATTTTGTAAGCACTTGTTTGTTACAAAATTTATTCTAGAATGATAAGATTACACAAAAATTAGGTAACTGTCATTTTTGCTTACTGTGGACCTTGTCTTTATAATTTTTATTATACCGGGTGAGGCATTTATCTTGAGACACAATAATATCTCCGTTGGACTCGATTATTTCGAAAAAAATTGTAGGACACCGGGGGAGGGGGGAGGGTTGAAAGGTCCATATAACGACTTCCTGTCTAGGCCGGAAGTTGTGTTTTTAGACCGGAAGTTGTTTTTTTTTAATGGAAGCACCAATTTTTCACCACGGATTTCGATTGAAAAACGAAAAAAAATTTTTGTTATTTTTTCGATTCAACCCATATTTTGGCCAGTTTTACAATAAAATATGAAATACTACGTCCACGTCGTAGTAGTCCTGGGTAGTGCTAAAAGTAGTTGAGAATTATACAGTTTTTCGATCTTAAAATGAGCTTGATATCTGATTTTGTCTTGAGGTTATCATATCCTGTAAAACTTCTAGCTCTTGTAATTTCCAAGGTCAAAAAAGAGGGTCCCATTTAAAATTTTGAATTTGATCTTCAAACGACCTTGACCAAGTTCAAGGTCATTTTCAAGGTCATGCCAAGATAGCCGCCATTCCGCCCTACAACTTTTGTAAGAAACATTTTTTTAAAAAGTGATCCCGAGGTACTCCATTGTCTCAAAATTCTTGTTTTTTTCTGTTTTTTTATGGCCAAAATATGGGTTAAATCCAAAAATAATAACAAAAAGTTTTTTTTTCGTTTTTCAATCGAAATCCGTGATCGATATGGATGTTTCCATTAAAAAAATCAATCAACTTTCATTACTTTTAATATTTAAAGAACCTGTATATCACCGCAGCCAAATGTTTACTATTGTAGCTTCGTCGAGGAGCTAGAGTCCATGGCTTACTCGTTTGTCGTTTACAAATCCAGTAGCGCGTAGTTGATGATACAGGGGCCAGTGTCATATCATACAAAGTTACTTTTAGGGTGGCTTATTAAAAATTATTATTTACTAAAATTATTTATTTGGTATTACATCAATATTTAAAACTTTTATCTTGTTCCTTTATTGTCGCCGCTTATCTTTTCTACTTTCTCTACGAATAAATATAAGTCTTTCGCTAAAATTTTTGGTTCTTCCGCTGCTGCAAAATGTCCGCCTTCGTAGTCGGCCAAGTGGACCAGATTCGGAAATTTCTGCCTCAATACCGTCTCTGGTTGGTACACCACTTCGTGTGAGAACCTTGCGCACCCGCTTGGAACCGGTGTGGGTATTCTACGGAGAAAATAACAAGATTTCTGCAATAATGTCACGCGTCATCACGAGGTACTCACTGTGGCAACTTCAAAGAGTTGTACCTCTCATTGAAAGATTCAGCATAGATACGCATCGAGCTGGTGATACATCCGGTTACCCAGTAGATCATGACGTTGTCCAGGAGGTCCTCCAGCTTGAATTTTTGGGTCAAACCGGCGTCGTCCAGGTTCTTCCAGTGGGGGTTCGTGAAAATAGAGTACTTCTCCATCAAATAAGCCGCTAGACCAACGGGACTGTCTCTTAGAGCGACGCCTAAAATTGAATCACAGAAAAGTTATATAGAAAATCCCATTCCGGGGGAAGAAATGCTATTTCTTAGTTTTATACAGACCTATAGTATCCGGTTTCGTCGCCTGGATGTGCATATAACCCGTCTCTTCGATCCACCTCATGTATTTCTCCGACAGCGGGTAGACTTTATCGCGGATATCATCCTCGACTATCAACCATGGGAAGAAGCTCCCTACCATTAGCTTAAGATGTGCTAACGGGGTGTTCACGAAGCAGAAATTGGAATGCGTTCCCAAAATCTTATGGGGGTACAGAGTAGCCATGGCGGCTACCACCTGGCTGCCCCAGTCACCACCGTGGAGGTAGTACCTGTGGAAGCCCAGACGCTCCATCAGATTCTTGAAGATGACGGCTATTTCCATGGGGTTGAGTCCCGGTCTGACGGCCGCTGCGGAAAATGCATAGCCTGGAAATTGGAAATGAATGTATCCGTGAAGTTTTTTAACAGATGTTTGCATTTTTACCTGGCAATGAAGGCGCTACAACTTCGAAAACGAAGTCTCCCGTGGGGTTTGTAAGGAGAGGTATAATATCGTAAAATTCCCGCGCTGAACTAGGCCATCCGTGCAAAATGAACAAGGGCAAGACCTTTACGCCTTTGGTTACTTTCGGTTTTACGTGTATATAGTGAATTTTCAAGCCTTGTATGCTTGTGGTGTACTGCGGGAATATGTTGAGAAGTTTTTCGCGCTGTCTCCAATCGTATTTGGTCTGCCAAAAGTCGATGATGTTTCTTAGATGGTTTGTGTTGATTCCGTACTGTTGCTGGACCCCTTCTAGTGCCGGTTGAAAGGGCAAGGCCTGGCTGAGCCGCCAGTTTAAGTCAGTAAGGACCTAAAAATATTTCTACAGGAAATATGGTGTCCCAATATAAGATTTTAAACTTATAACCCCCTAAAATTTGAGTTACGTCCGGCACTGTAACATTACTTTATATTATTTATTATTTACACTTAAATAATAACTCTTATCGCCATTGTAAGGTCTAGATGATTATTAACTGCACCTATGTTTAATGTAAGTAACTTAGAACTGATAGACAGTAAAATACCTGCTTTCGCAATTAATGTAAAACTAAAAAATCGACAGAAAATCCTCTTCTTATTAAAAAAAGCAAAAAAATACTCACTGTTTGCGACACGTTTATGGTAAACGGTTTGATATCGGTGTCCTCATTAGCGTACGGTTTTCCGGGACCCCACCAAAGCTCATCTTTTATGAGCGGTAGTTGCGGAGTAGAAAAAAAAAAATTCTTAACACGCGCGAAGAAAGACGCCGACAACCAAGCGATAAGTACGACGATAAGTATTTTCCCCCACATTTATAATTCAAATTGTGCTGCTTGCAGTACACATTACCCGAATAAGAATGATTACAAAAGTGATATAAATACTCTATATCGCTGACAGAGGGGAAAAATACACGTGTAAACCGGTTTTGGGTTGTTTTATTTCTATGTCGTAAATATTCATTATTGCAACTATTTCAATACGGGTGGTATGCGGTTTCCTTGATTTATGTTGAAAAATAAACCAGGTACGTTTATTGAATTCAAATATTAATCATATTCAAGGAATATATTATTACAAATATCAAAATATTTCTTTCACATTTCAGGGATTTTTTGTTCAATTTAATTTACCAAATAAACATAGATCTAAGTAGATGAAGATAAGACATATACGACTGCACAGTGCGGAAAACAGCAGACTTTACGCAAATTGCAGTTTTTGTTACCTCCAATCTGTGGAATAAAAATATGGATTTATTCCCTGTAGGATAGATTACTTATATTAATCCGATACAGTGGTCGCGTATAGCGGGTTGCAGCGTCTGTTGGTATCATGGAAAGTAAAAACTTAAGTCTCTGTGGTTGGTACTTAATGACATTTCTCCGATTTGTCACTGACAGTAAACTGTTTTAAGGTTAGGTAACTCGCAAATAAACATGAAGTATAAAAGCAAATATTTGCCTTAGTATAAATCAAATATTCTTTAAGGTCTGTACCTTGAAAACTTCACCATGGCAAAGTAAGTATTCCAAGTTGACTTGAAATTATCACTCGTAATTTTTGTTTTTGTTGAAGGGAAACTATGATAATTTTTGTGTATGATACGCAAATGGTCCAGAAGGAAGAGGACGACCCAGCCTCTGCTATACTATACTTCCACCCAACTTGGGTGTCTGACCAGCAAAAGGCAGCTCTGTGCGGTCAGATTATAGGCACCATACATTGCGTTAAAAATATTTTTTCAAGTCCGGAGATAGTGTCTCTTCAGAGCGGAAAGTTCTTTGTTATAGAAAATGGTAGATACTTACTGGTAATGGAAAACAGAAATGTCGTATTCAGTACGTTAATAGTTTGATTTTAGGCTGCGGGAACAGATAGAAACATTAACGATTGGTTGTTGAAACATAGAGCTAAGACGTTGTACTCGTTACTTAATTTCTTCCATAAAGATTTCGAATCACTGGCGAGTCTTTATAAAGGTGATAGTCTTTCTGCGAAGCTTTATCACATCTTCGAGACTTATTTGAAAATGATCGTTTTCGGGGGGAATATATTTTCACATGTTCCGTCGCTTGTTTTGCCAAAGGTTAGTTATTAAGTTATTAAAATTTAAAATTATTGTGGATGTTATTTCAGAGCGCAAGCAATGTTTTTATGGAGGCTGTTCATATTCTTCAGTGTTGTCAAGAGTTTAGCTATGTTTTGGGGGGTTGTATATTGTACCACAATAAGTAAGTACACTTTGTTATAGATTTAAATTAAAAACCGTCAAACGATATATTTTAGGGTAGTTGCTACGCAAGTTGGTTCAGATTTGTCGAAACGTCTAGTACTTACGGATCCGTACAGAATAAAATGCCCGGCAGAAATAGCCGAGGTCTCTTACGATTTACCGTTAGGCGTTCAGCTTCTGCAGGTTTATATTTCGAATAAGGAATATTGCAACTTGTTACAGTCTTCGTTAAGGAATAGAAACATTTATCAGTATTTGAGCAATAAAAGTATTAAAAAGGTGAGTCGTATTAATGTTATGTGTAAATTTAATATCATTTTTACTAATTGTAGGGTTATGGTAAAAACACGCAGCTGTTACAAGACACTCCCATAGTATCCGCTATGAAACGAGATCAATCTCTGATATTCACGGCCGTCCCGGAGGAGGGTTCCGACCATTCCGCCTCGTCTACGAACCCGCCCTTTGTGCCGGCGACAAAAAAAGTCAGACCCAAATTCCTTAATTTGAAAAGCATAAGCATAGATTCAAGTATAGAAATAAAAACCGCCAAACCGGCTCCTGTGACGCCTTTCTGTGGCCAAACTAGCGTGTGTTCCACTCCTATGACGGAACTGAAGAAGTTTATCCACCAGAACCCACTTTTGATTTGCCGAAATAAAGACGGAATAACCGAAAGTACAAACAAGACTGAGGTTGAGCTGGAGGTTGACGGAAAATGTGCCTCGAGTGATAAAACCGAGATCGTTTTAAGAAAATCCACGCCGTACGTGAACATAACCTCCAATTTGTATGTCAATAAGAAACATTCCAGTTTAATCAACATAAACGATATCGTCAACAGTATTTCGCAAGACGCTGAGCAGTATTTTAGTATTAGGAACAAGGGTCTGATTCAGTTAGATTTGTCTCCGATAAGGTCCTCGATGAAGGGAGAGAAATTATTCAAAACTATAACCGATCCAACGTTTCCAGTATTTAAAGCCGACGGCACGATCGTATCGCATCCTTATTATAACGAATACGTGAAAGTTAACCTGGAGTTGGTTCGGTTGGATCTGAAACAAAAAGAATTCAAAAACGGCTGCTTCGATGACTTCGATTCCTGTTGGATGAATGGTACAAAAAAGACGACTGAAACTAACAAGGAACGGTCGAAATCAGACAACTCCGAGACTGACGTATTAAATAAGCTTCCCAAAGTGCCAACGAGACATAACAAGGAACACAGAAAATCCTTGACGCTTCCGTTGAAATCATTCAGCATAGATTCCGTACAAACGCCCAGTGAACCGTTGACGAAGAGGTATTCGTCGGGGGTGCAACTCACTCCTCTCCTGTCGAAACTGAGTATGCTGGCATTCGAGGAACGGTCGAGCGGTTTCTGCAGCAGGGAAACTACCCCTTGCGATTACAGGGGGCTGACTCCTACACAACAAAATTACTCGTTTCCCTACAATAAATATAAGACTGGTAGGGATATATGCAATGCCAAGAACGAGAACGATTCCTCGTTGCAGAGGTGCGTTTTGTTTGTTTGCGGACAGCAAGACGTCGTTTTGACTATGTTGTTGACGGAGGACTGTGGCGAAGAACCTAGCACGGTGCGGAAGTTGGTAAGTGAAAGGGATCTAATCCCAAAATAATCCAATTTAAGGTGTTTTTTAGTGATTTCAGCATATTGCAACATATTTAAAAATGTTATTCTATTTCTTCAAAATAACTTCAAATTCTAAATGTTCAGTGTTCTAAATCGATATGTCTGGCACATACTCGACCAATGTTCGTAGTTGGGGCATCAAAAATAATTGGGTCATTCGTTGATTGTCTCACCTATGGCGTACCGATGAGGACTAATAAGTCCAAAGCCGGTATATGTCTGGTGGGTATGGTTGACGAATGATCCTAACTGTTTACTAGATATTGCCGGCTAATTATCAAATAATTTTCGAGTTTCAGTTAAAATTAAGATTTATGCAGAAAATATCTGTCATTCTTGTATGTAATCGAATTATTTTTAGTGGGAAATTTGCACGGAACAGTTGGGTAAACTGGGGAAGCAATTAAATTATTGTATGGAATCTCAGTCGGGGGCAAATCTGCACGAAAGCGAACCCTACAGTTACCTCTGCCTAGACTCGGCCTGGGACACCGTGAAACGGGGCGGGCCTTGGGGTGCCAACGATTTGGGAGCGTTGAATGCCCTGCACAGAGATTTTGATGAAGTTCACAGTTTGATGGAGATTATGATGAGGTTTGTACATCCCAGATTTTTTAATTATTTGTTTGAACAGATAATTTTTTATTTTTTGCATTCGATTCATTTTTATACGGAAAATTGTAAAGCGGGGAAAGAAATTTAGTAATATCAATTTAAAAATTAAAAAATTGGCGAATTTGTTGTTTGTCAATGTCGGAAGTGACAAATCCGTCATTTTTAATGTTATTCCCCGTAAAAGTAACCATGAAACTAGACTTTGTTCTCTTAAAATGTATACTGTGCGCTTTGGGCGTCATCTTCATCATTTCCTGCATCGTCGAACTGATATACACCATGAGAGAAGTGCTACCGAGGCATATCTTCAGATCGTTCGAGATAAACATGGGTTACCAGGTGATCTTCCTAACGGGTACCGTGCCCGTCCTGGTAGGGATCTTCATCGAAGCCAAAGAGCCCATCATCCACTTCTTGATCCTGGTGCCGTATTCCATGATTGTCGATTGCGTATGGTTGGGATTCGTCGCGTCCGACTACGTCCAATTCGTTCGCCTAAAGAAGTGGCCGGTCGTCGGTTTTTTGATTTGGAAGATTTTACTGTGCGTTTGCTGCATATACTTCGCTAGCCAGTTGCTGAGAAAAATCGTCAGGCTGAAGAAGAGGGAGAGGGAGGAGAGCGATTTTGAGAAGACCTACGCTTTCCGGAGATTCGGTATTGACCTTTTTTTATACAGAGTGTATCGAAAATTGTAACGAGTTAAACAGTTGAACATTTTTTTAGTATTTGGCACTTAATTCGGTTTGTTTAACAGCGGCGGCATAGACGAAAGTTTAAATGTGGTAAAATTTGTATAATTCGAATGAATTTTTTCAGAGGTGGTGACAGTGTGATCTACGGCTATCACTGCGGGCCGTCTGAAGTTTTTTACCATGAATCGGCAAGTACCAATGCTGGATTACCTCCTCCCGCCGATCCGATGGGTCTGGTACAATTAAAGGCCAAAAGACGACTCGAGCGTGATCATGCCATCATATTACTTTAATAACAAAATATTGCTCTTGATATTAAGTCCCATCTCAATACAAATTGTGGTTTTCAGTTTTACGGGCTTTAAATAAGTTAATATATGTATGAGGTCATACTGAGTGTTTTAATATGACAAAATTCGACCTCTTATTTAGTAATTCAGTTCACCGAGATTGAATCTACGATTATAAAATTGTTTTTAATGTTACCTCTTTTTGTAGCCTCCCTTAACCGAAGGTATAAAAAAAATTATTGCAGCTGTTACGTTAATATCGTTGTTCTAAACATATTGTGATGTACTTAGAAACCATCTCATTTATATTCAGTGTAGTTGAGTATATATGTCGTGCCAAAATTTGATTCTGATAAATTATTCGGAGATATATATGTACTATTTACACAAACTTTTGTCCAATGTTAGATCTCATTCCGTTCCATTTCTTTTTTATTAAGGAAAATGTTCTATTTATGTCTACAACGTTTGTTATATTTTTCAGCAATAGATACGATACGAAATAGTTTTATTTTTGTTTTTATTTCAACCTCTACGATTAAAAATTTCACGCCAATAACAAAAATTGACATATAAAGTTGAACTGGGTTCTATTCTAGTTCGTTGTGTGAAAAGAAATAATCTAGTCTCCATGACATTAAAAAATAATTTACTTAATAATAAACTACAGTTCGGATATTTAAATTTGATCTATTAAATTGAATTTTTGGTGCTGGGATTGCGGAATAACGTTAAAATACTTTTTATAGAATTCCGTGCCTTTCCTGTGACCGTGACATCTTTGAATCCAAGTGTGATCCCAGTTAGGATCCACTTTTTCACAGGTAACGGATACTTTACCAGGGACTATGGCAAATAAGGTTCCGTTTCGCCCTAGTCCAACCTGAAACGGTAGAAAAATTACGCGCAATCATTAACGACAAGGATATTTACATTTAAGCCTGGATGAAACCGCAAATTACGTTGAAGGACGAGTATATATCCTGCCTCCACGTGGTGACCGTCTTGAACTTTCCATCCCCTGTGTTTTGGTCTTACTTTGGTACTGGTGTTTTTAGTGCTTCCGCCAGCCTTTTTACTTGCAAGTCTTGTTGTGTCTAGAATACAAAAACATTAGTTAATCAGCCATTAGGATGAAAAAACTTACTTGTTAAGACGTGTGCTTTATTGAGAAAACCATTTTTAATCGAATTTAAGCAAGAAATCATTTTTGTGTTACAGTTAGAAAACCTAACCTTTAAAATTGACAGTACAGAATAGCAGACCACAGAGAGGGAGATAGTTTGGGTACTATCTGTCTCTCGCGCACGGCATATGATTGGCTAATGCAATTCCTTCCTTAACGATTAAAAAGAGAGAGCAAGTACCCAAACTTGCCCTCTTTCTCTCCAGTTTTTAAAAGTCAATGTCCTAGATAAATGATACTAAAGATAGGAAACGAACAGATTTCGTGGTCATTAACAGCGCTAACTTTTAACACTTTCTCCAACTTCTATTGCTTTCCTTTTCTAGGAATTGTCGGTAATACAGTGAGTTAAATTACCTGTAGCCGGTAAAAGATGCAAGCGCCATCTAGTTGTACGCTCTACAACTATATACCTAGCTACTCAATATTTGTTTTAGGTATTCTGCCGCCGCTAAATTTAAAATTACATAACAAATCTCACCCTACACAGATCACTCAGAAATTGATTTTGTAAAATAATTTTCACGTAGATAATTTTTTTTGTCACCATGAGAAAATAAGTACATTTGATAAAAAGCATTAAAATCACTCAAGCATTAAAGACACTTTTAAATGCTCTAATAGTCTTCCTACTTAAAATAAGAAATAATTTTGATACTGTAACTTTTTAAAATGTTTGTTGAAAAAATTTCAAATTTCAGTACATATTTTGAAAAAAAAAGAGTGAAAATGATTATAGAGTTTCAGTGCTTTCTATATTGTATTAGCTTTCACGGTGAATAAAAAAATATTACAAGTAAATAATTTTACTAAACCAATCTTTGATTAATTCTTGTAATAGAGATTTATTATGCAACTTTAAATTTTTCGTTGTGTTGATATCCATAAAAAAAACTACCTACCTCTGATCACGACAAACTTTCAGACATTTTTTATTAAAAAAAAAAAAAAAAACAAAACATTTTATTATTAATAAAAAAATGTGATTATATGATGATCAGACATTATTATGTTATATAAATAAATGTGAATGAAATATCTAATAAAACACACTAAAAACACAAATAAAACACACACCAACACTCGCCAAACCTAACCAACAATAAACAATAAACATGAACAAGAACAAAAATGACATGAAATGATTCATAATTGCAATTGTCAAAATTTATTCTACAAAATCTTTGTGGCGACATCTGTAGACTCTTTCCCCAACTTGTATATCCATCTCAAGTCACGTGGTTCCCAGAGTTTCCCCATATTTTCAAGTATACTGTATAAGTTCTCGGGCCCTGGTCAATGTGGAACGCACTCTCGGCTTTGCGACAGACGCAAACAAATATAACCTCCATAACCTAGATTTTATTTATCCGCGTTTGATTTTAAACACGTGCCGTAATAATCATGGATGGAAGCCGTAAGTATATTTTCCGTTTTATTTTTCTGTATATGGGTTCAGTTGCTGTTATTCTCTTATAAACGTGTTGGTTCGCGTTTATTTACGCATTAAACAAAGGTTTATGTTATTTAAATTTCAGTGGAAAAACCTATCAAAGAAAAGAAGAAAAAGAAGATAAAGCTAGAAAACTTGGGAGAAATACAGAAAGAAGGCGATTTTTCTGTAGAACCGTCTAACAAATCCGCAAAATTAGATACGTCACAATGGCCATTGCTATTGAAAGTGAGTACACATTCTATTATTTACAAATAAAGTCAAACAAATAATTTATATTTTTCCTAGCATTTTGATCGGTTAAATGTAAGGACCAATCATTATGTTCCCATTCCCTGTGGATCTTCACCGTTAAAGCGTGATATATCGGAATATATCAAAGCGGGCTATATCAATTTAGATAAGCCCGCGAACCCGAGCAGTCACGAGGTTGTGGCTTGGATAAAACGCATACTTAGAGTAGAGAAAACTGGCCATTCCGGAACTTTAGATCCTAAAACTACAGGTATAATATATGGGCTATTTTTTTGCAGTTGTTTAGTGAGAATTGATATATTTTTTCGTTAGGTTGTTTGATAGTTTGCATAGAGAGGACTACTAGGTTGGCAAAGTCGCAGCAAGCCGCCGGTAAGGAGTACGTGACTGTATTCAAATTGCATTCACCCGTGGATTCCATAAAAAAAGTTAGTCAGGGTTTAGAAAAGCTGAAAGGGGCCTTGTTCCAGAGGCCTCCGCTTATATCTGCAGTTAAGAGACAGTTGCGTGTGAGGACGGTCTACGACAGTAAACTGTTAGATTATGACGAAACCAGGAATATGGGTAAGATGTTTTAAATGTTAATAGCTTTGTTGTTGGCTTATCGTGAAGTTGTTTTAATTTCAATACGATTGGATAAATGTGTAAAAAAGTTTTAACTGATTTTTGAATAAATGTAGAAATTTGAAAAAAAAAATTTTTGCAAAAATTTTTAAACAGAAACCTTTGGAAAAATTTACGAATCGCCATTTTAGGGGTGTTTTGGGTGAGTTGCGAGGCGGGCTCCTACATCCGTACCATGTGCGTCCACCTGGGCCTGGTGCTGGGCGTAGGCGGGCAGATGCTCGAGCTGCGTCGCGTCAGGTCCGGCATCCAAAGCGAGATGGATGACACGTCGACTTTACACGACGTCTTGGATGCCCAGTACCTATACGATAACCATAAAGACGAGAGTCTACTCAGGAGGGTGATCAAGCCTCTCGAGGGACTCCTAGTCAGACATAAAAGGATCATTATGAAAGACAGCTCGGTTAGTTTTTCGAAGGTCCGTCGTTTGAACCTTTTAAAATTTATACCCTCTCCCGACAGGTGAACGCAGTGTGTTACGGTGCTAAAATCCTCCTGCCCGGCGTCCTGCGGTACGAGGACAACATCGAACTGAACGAGGAGATCGTGATCGTGACGACGAAGGGCGAGGCGATAGCACTGGCCCTCGCCCAGATGACGACCGCTACGATGGCGAGTTGCGATCACGGTATAGTGGCGAAGATAAAGCGGGTGATCATGGAGAGGGACACGTACCCCAGGAAGTGGGGGCTCGGCCAGAGGGCCAGCCAGAAGAAGATACTGATCGCCAAGGGGCAGTTGGATAAGTACGGGAAGCCGAACGAGAACACTCCCAAAGAGTGGTTGAATTGCTATGTGGATTATTCAGTGTGAGTTACAGATCGGTGTGACTTTTTTCTTGTTTTGTAATCGAAAGTTGAAAATAATTTTTTTTCAGGAAAAACGAGCCTGTATCTGAGGTGGCGGAGGAGGAAGAGTCGCATAAGAAGGTGTGTTAAAACAAACGTGCTTATATTTGCACGTTTTATTTACATTATTTAACTTTGCAGCGTAAATTGGATGAATCCCTCGGTAATGCGTCTGTAACTAGTCCCGAGGCGTCTCCGGAAAAGAAAAAGAAGAAAAAGAGGAAGAAGACGGAAGAAACGGCTGAAGAGGAGACTTCCGCCGTGGTCGCTACGGGAACGGTCGAGCCTGAGGCAGAGGTAAGGATTAATTTGATTGTTAGAAAGTCACTTGTGGAACTGGTATTGATTTTTGTAATCAGAAGTGGGATTTATACAGCATTTCGATTATTAACGGTAAAAAATAGTAACGAAAAAATTTTCTCTCTTTCAGCAACCAGTGAAAGAGAAGAAAAAGAAGAAGAAGAAAGATAAAGAGAAGAGGGAGGTTGTGGAAGAAAACTAAGTCTTACGAATGAAGATATTTTTATAGTTTTTGTTAATTTTTCTTTAATTTTTATCAACTCCCTTTTCATTAATTTTAAGAAATAACTGTTCTCTGCATGCATTGCATATTTCGAGGAATCATGATTTTTTTTATCTTAATTATGCAATAAAAGGTAAAAATTATGTTTTTTTTGTATTTACAAACTTTTCCTCAGGGTGATTCAGTTTAAAGGCATACAAGCAACTAAAATTTTAAGTAAAAGAACAAACGAAGCTCAAATGTTTATTATATGCAAAAATTTGTCAATACAATTTTTTTGAAAATTGTCTTAGAAAGAATTTTAGGCTTATTTGCAATTTCAAGTTAGTTTCCAAATACACGATTAATTTTTCTTAAATCGAACAAATACATGAATTCTTGTCTACGCCGTCACTGAGCAGCACTCAAACTTGGTTGTGTGCATATTTTTTTAAACCAACCACAAAGTTGAGTAGCGGAGAATTTTGTATGACTGCGACATTATTTTAGTCACCTTTTTGATTCAAGGTATTTTGAAGAGCGTAGAATAACATTTCGGGTAAAAAATTTGCCAATACAATTTTTTGTAAATTGTCTCCTCGAAAAAATTTTTACAATTTTAAGTTTGTTTCCAAAGACACGATAAATTTTTCTTAAATCAAACAAATACAACATGAATTCTTGTCTACGCCTTCACTAAGCAGCACTCAAACTTGGTCGTGTGTATATTTTTTTAAGCCAACTACAAAACTGAGTAGCGGAGAGTTTTCTATGACTGCGACATATTATTTTAGTCACTTTTTTGATTTAAGATATTTTGAAGGGTGTAGAATAACGTTTCGTATAAAAAATTTGCCAATACAATTTTTTGCAAATTGTCTCTTAGAAAACATTTTTACAATTTTAAGTTTGTTTCCAAAGACATGATGAATTTTCGAACAAATAAAACATGAATTCTTGTCTATGCCGTCACTGAGCAGCACTCAAATTTGGTCGTGTGTAGATAAATCTGTGAAATGATAACGGCAACGTTCTGCGAAGAAGAGAAATTCATCAAACGGTAATAAATAAAAGGCGACTTGCTTAAACAAACGGATTTATTCACTGTCACTGTAGAAAGCACACAATCACAACGTATGGTGTCTTACTTACCTTGCGTTGCTCTATTTTTGTCTCGTTACTGATCGTCGGGTAAACATTCTCACAACGCTATAATAGAATAAAAAAGTTAGTCGAGGTGTCGTGGGTGAAATTAATACTTATCCTTTGAAGAATTCGATCCGAATCGTCCGTTTTACTGAAACACTTTATCGAAATTATCGGCCAAATTCTCTCTGACACGCTGAAAAGAAAAAATGCACTAGGTGAGTAACGATGAAGGACAGTTTCTGAGAAATCGTGTTGAATACATTTTAACGACGGTTAATTACATTTTGAACACAAGCCCTGTCAATTTTATTGATACATGCGTCAAAACGTATTCAACAGCTCCAAAGTTATGAAAAGTTCCGTATTCCCCAAAAAAATACCTTTGCTATTTTCTGGGACCGATCGGCGATCTCTGATTCTCCCTTACCGGCACTCTGCAACAAAGCAACAATATAATAATCTGGACGAGGGTATCAGCTGTTTTTTTTTATAAATATAAAAAATTTCAAATAAACAACTCATACATTTATTGAATTAATTGATTTATAAATAATCCACAATCAGTAAATCGTTCCCAAATACAGACAAATTATATACACACAGACGATTAGGTATCGGCAAGCAAATAGTAAAAATTCTTGTTTTTCCCGTTGCTTTTTACCTCGCTAAACCACTTTTCTAAATCTTGTCCTGTATGAAGGGGTGGGTCAGGGCGTTGTTCAGGCTTATACGTTTGGCCGGGTCGATGGCCAACGCCTTCTCCAGCAGGTCCTTGAGCTGGGTGACTTTCCGCAGCTGGTCGGCGGGTAACCCCTGGCCCGCCACCAGCTCCGCCTGCAAGTCCCTGGTCACCTTCACTACCGACATTACAACTACCTTTTCCTAGTAAAAAGAAATCCGAAATTACAAGTATACATTAAACGGTACCTATTTATTGCTACCACGCAACGGAAAATTCCCTAATAGTACAGTCATTGAAGCCGAAAATCAGCTGTGACCTCCGGATTCTTTGAAACTGCATGGATTTGCGTGAAAATTTAGAACAAGGCTCGTCTTTGACGCTTTTTGTTTTTTAGGGGTAAAAACTACCCCTAAGTGAAGAAAATTGTTCAAGCACAAAGATTAAATAATGTTCCATGTTCTCGAACATGCTTTATGATATATTTGATCTTTTCCACCCTTTGTTTAACCCTTTAAAACTACCCCTATGCAAAAAATAATGATAAAAAGTTACTTTTTAAAGATTTGGAACGATTAAATCGTGCAATTATTTAAAATAAAAGTTACCTTATAGCTAATAAAAGAATTTTTCTCTTTCAACCCCTAAAAAACGCCCCTGTATTGACAAAAATGATAAACAATTTACTTTTTAAAAGCTTGGAATGCTTTAACGGTGCAATTATTTAAAATAAAAATTCCCTCATTGCTTATGAAAGAATTTGTATCTCATAACACTTTTCAACCCTTATAAATCACCCCTGTGCTAAAAAATTAAAAAAAAATTACGTTTTAAATCCTGGAATGCTATAATTGTGCAATAATTTAAAATAAAAATTCAATTACATTGTTTATGAAAGAATATTTTACTTTTGCCATTTTCTTATAAACTACCCTTTTACCAACATTAATGTAAAATATTTTTATTATAATCAATTTTTGAATATAATCAATCATAAAAAAATGGTTACGCTTCATATAAACTTTCATACACGCTGACGCGTGTAAAACTATTAATGACTAATTAGTGACTAAAAAACTATTGATTTCTCGAAAAAATTCTTCGAATATCTTTTGCTCAAAATTTGATTCTCTATCGATTTCCAGCGTTATTTCCACTCCCGAGAAGACCCCCAACGGGGTGGAAGCGTCAATCGGCGCTATGACACTAATGTTCACTGACCTTTTCTCTATCTGCCAAATTTCAAGTCGATCGGTTCAGTTTCAAAGAATTTGGACGTGAAAAGCTTCAATGACTGTACTATAAATACTGTAGAAATTCTATCACAAAAATTGTTTTCATTCAGCAAAATGTAACCGTTACTTAAAAAGTCATTCTTTAAACGGAAATCTTGGCAAACTATATCGACTTTGAATATTAGGCAACCAATGTTACAGTATTGGTAATGAATAAAACAAAATTCCCTAGATCTAGTGATGTTTATGACAAGTGAAGATCTCGTTACAGTATTGGTAATGAATAAAACACAATTCCCTAGATCTAGTGACGTTTATGACAAGTGGAGCTCTCGTTACAGTACTGGTAATGATTAAAACAAAATTCCCTAGATCTAGTGATGTTTATGACAACTGGAGCGCTCGTTACAGTACTGGTAATGATTAAAACAAAATTCCCTAGATCTAGTAATGTTTATGACGAGTGGAGTTCTCGGATTATTTTTCTCTCGAAAGATTCTGTTATTCAGCAAAATAATAATAATTAAAAGCTAATCAAAACGTACAGAATGAAATAAAATGGAGTGAAACTAAAAAACATGAAACACTTTAAACACTCACCCGTTCGGTGACCTTATCGATCTCGTGGTAGAGGAAGTTACAGTTGCCGTCGAAATGCTGTTCCCTGAACGCCCCCTTCCTTATCACCTTGTTGGGGAACTTCCCCTTTATGTCCATGAAGAACTTCAGCATCTGGTTGTTGGACTTGCCGGAGAACATGATCCGACCAGTGTAAAGCTCATAAATGGTGCAGGCGGCCGACCACATGTCGATGCCGTAATCGTAGGGGATGCCCAGGATAATCTCGGGCGCTCTGTAGAACCTCGATACGAGATACGGCGTGATCTCGTTCTCGTTTATCACCGAGGCGGAACCGAAATCGCACAGCTTCAAGACCAGTTTGCTCTCGTTCACCAGTATGTTGTCGGGTTTTATGTCTGAAACGGGCAGAGGTCAGTCGGAGATTTCCCGTCGTGAAACAATAATTTACCTGCGTGCAGTATTCCGGTCTTCTTTAGGAGTTTGAGTGCTAAGAGCAGCTGTTGGGTGTAACTGCGGACCGCTTTAACGTGCAGGCCGACGTCCTTGCCGTACTTCTTGAGGACCTCCCTCAAGTTCATGGCTAGCGGTTCGAACACCATGCACAGGTGCTGCTTGTGGAAGAAGTGCCTGATCAGTCGCAAGCAGTGCAGCTTGTCTTCCGGGTCGGCGTCGTTCAGTTTCTTCAGGATCTCCAGTTCCTTCAACCCTGTTTTGTGCCTAGAAGGGATGATTTTAAGAACAAGGTAGTGGTTATCGTTTTATTAAAGTCATAAGTCAGTGATCGCTTTAACAGTCAACACTCACATGATCTCGTTATTCCTGATAATCTTCACGGCGACGTCCTGATTGCCCCTAGCCTGGTCCCTGGCCCTAACGACGTTACTGAAAACGCCCTGGCCGGTATAACCGTACACCATATATCTAGAGTCTAATATTTCGCCAATTCTGACCCTGTAATAGCCCTCGGCGTCGTCCCAGTTGTCGGTAAGTGCGGGATTTTCCGCACCCGAGCCCTTCGTGATTATTGTACTTGGAGACTGTAGAGAGAAAATAACTTAACACATGATTTTATATAAAAAAAAACAAAAATTGCCACTTACGCTTGTGTTCGCTTTAAAAATATCCTGCTCGGCGAACATGTCCCACTCCGATTTCTTGGTTTTATCCGTCTTTTTGTCGTTCAGCTCGACTGTCTTCATGTTCGGCAAAAGCGGGGGAGTGAGAGATTCTTCACTTACTTTTTCTTCATCGTTGTTCTCAACTTCTTGTTCCGTTTGCTTATCTTCCGGTTCGTCGGGTTCGGGTGGGGTGTCTTTGACGTGGTCTACAACCGGCTTGGGGGACGCGGGCACGGATATGTTGGTGTTGGAGTCTTCACTTTGGGCGTTCGTGGCTCCTAATCTCTATTACAAAAAAAAAGTGAATCTTGAATCGTTCCAGTGAAATTTTGATGATCGCTTGAATTCAATCGGTATTTTTTAAATTACACACCATTTACAAATTGAATAAACATGTTATTTTTCCTTATGGAGGGGTTAAATTTTAAGTTAGTTCTGTAAAAATCTAAGAAATCAACGATTTGAGATAGTTTATGAAAATTGAAGTGCTAAAAATTTGTTAAAAATGACAATTCAAAAATCAGAAAAAGATTTTTTAACTAATAATATTGTCGTGGACAACTACTCTGCAGACACGCCCTGTCCAACATTTAATTACACCTCCAATATCTGATGACATTAAAAATATGACATTTACTTTGTAGGTTATGTCACAGTAGAAAAATAATTAAAATCATATTCTAAGTTAAAATAATCTGACACTTCATAGTTTTGTAACGTGCAACATCAAATAAACTTACCTTCAACAGCTCCTCCCTCTGCTTCCTTCTCTTCTCGATAATAGCTTCCTCGTCCTCTTCGTCTTCATTCAAATCAATGTCGTCCACCTCACTACTATCACTGCTTTGCTTGGCCTTCTGCTGTCCCTCGCTTAGAGAATCCTTGTATTTGTCATGCTTCTCGTGCCTGTTCCTATTGTTGTGGCTTCTATCCCTCCTATCCCTAGATCTATCTCTACCCGATCTATATCTATCCCTGTCATCCTGAACCCTTCTGGTATCCCTGGATGCGCCGCGATGGGAAACACTGTCTCGTTCTCGAGACCTTCTTAGAGATCTATCACGGTTGGACCTGTCGTTTATGTTGGACGACGACCTTTCTCTAGACCTACGCTGAGTATGTCTATGGTTCCGCTCCCTCTCTCTTTCTCTTTCCCTGCGCTTTTCTAATTCACGGTTATATCTCTCCCTTTCCGTTTCTCTCGCATATCGTTCCCGGCTACGTGTACGTCTTCTTTTATGGTCAATTTTCGGCCTCTCCTTAATAATGACTTTGCGTTCTCTACTACGAGAATGTTTTCTCCTTTTAGCAGGTACACTAGGTTCTTGGTCGTCCGAATCGTCTAATAAAATAATCTCGTCGACCGGCTTTCCGTTCTCTACAGCGTGGTCGTTGGGTGTAGCCACCCCTTCGATCTCTGCTTTCGCCAGCTGTGCCTGCAGCAGCTCTTTCTGCTTCATAAGCTCTTCCAGATCCATGTCCGCCTCTATAACGCTTATGTCTATATCGACACTGTCACAGTCCACTTCGGGCACGTCTTCACTTTCTGAGGAAATCACTTCTAACGTGTGCACATCCTGCACATCCGGGTTTAGGCCTGCCGATACAAAGTCGACGACAGAATCGGGATCGTTACTTGAGGATTTCTTAACCGTATCAGTAGGTGATTTCTCGATTAAAGGCTTACCATTAGTGACACTGGTGCTTGTACTTTTCTCCTTAGGTTTTGGTGACTTTTCAGGGGTGTACCGGTCATTTTTATCACTTTTTATGGACTGCCTATCTACGGACACTTCTTTCTCTTTGCGTTTGTGTTTCTTATGTTTTTTGTGCTTCTTGGACTTGTCCTTTTCCGTTTTCTCCGAATTGCGTTTCTTGTGTTTATGTTTGTGTTCTTTCTTGTGTTTCTTCTTGTTTGCAGTGGCATCTGAATTGGATACATGTTCCACTTCCTTTTCTTTTGTTCTGAAATGTATCAGATTTTGTAGTGATTCGACTGCAAACAGTATTTTTACTATGTACTTACTCTGCGTCCATTTTGTTAATTTGCTGAACTGAATTAAGATATTACAAGTATAGAATCAATTATAGTACACCCAAGTAACGTATCGCATAAACTTTATTCTTATTGGGTATCATAACCACATATTTTCATTAAATGTCAAAATGTCGTTTTAAACTTTGATTGCCAACATGAAAAAGAAAAAAATGATGTTAAGTTGTTAACTGCGGACACTGGTTGTAAGCTTGCTTTGGCAGAGCCACTGTGACTAATAAAATCATTTTGAGGATACATAAATACATTTATGAGGAAAAGTAAAAAAAAAGTTTTGGTTTTATGAAAATTACCACAATATGATTTAAACTCAGTAAAATTTTGTTTACTTTAAAAAACCATCCGTAGTATAAATAATTTATAATACCTGTATATGGTTGACTTGCTTAAGATCATAATTCTTGATCTTAAAACCTATTTTTTATTATATTAAACTGTGATTTAAATATGTAGCTAGATTTTCTATTAGCAGAAGCTATATAAAACTACTAGAAAGATATTTGTTCTTTTTGTGATTTAAACGTTGCACAACCTGTAGGGTTTGGCGGAAAAGTCGAATCTGAACTTCAAATTGTGTTCAAGAGTTTCGAAGAATACATTAAAAATATACATTTTTGGGGAGAACGTAATATTTTTGGTATAATGGGTTTTGAACCGGAAGTCGTGCTTTAATAATTTATAATAACATTTATATGCCTACATAAAATGACGTTAACAGGTAAACATTTCAATAAATACATATTAAAAATATAATATGAGTGGGAGCAACCTGCAATTTGGTGGGAGAAAAAGCGCCGGGACGCTTCATCATTTCGACGACGTACAGCGTCTTGTAGTGAGTGTAGTGTAGATTTGATATATTTCTAATAATTTTTATACAGAGTCGTAGGCTTAAGGTAAGATAAATTAATTTGAGCGCTAGTTAGTTTTTAAAATAATAACTATTAGTTTTTTTTTTTAATACTGTTGGGGGTCGTTGAAAATAGTAGTAGGAAGAAATTTCATGAAGTCCAGTTCGCGGTACAGGAAACAGATATGTGTAATTGTCTATAAATACTGTTGGCATCGGATTATAAAACGTGATTAGTTGATCTGCAATCTGTAACGCGATAAGTACAAATTGCACTTTCGAATTTTTATGCCTTTTATAGGAACAGCGACTTTTGGCCCGCTCCGAAATAGCCAAATAGAATATTCGTAAAGTAAATTTAACCTATAACACAATTCCGAGCCATGCCGTTTCGGCTAAGAATAGTTTTTAGAACGGGCCAGTGGCTTCTGGGCTATTTCTAACCCGCGATTTTTGGAAGTGCGCTTCTTTTTGTCCTGTATTTCTCGCTCGGCCCGAACGGCATCGACTTATCTTACTTGCGGTATAAAGCGAAGGCCATCTCGCCACATTTATATATATATAGATCGGGATAAGCCTAAGATAAAATCTGTTTTGTGGTAATTTTTTCAGAAAAGGCATTCGACTTTTCTTAAAATCCATAAGGACTTTCAATCAATGTAATTAAAATACTCGTTTTTACTCGTTAGATGTCGCCCAAATTCGCAAAATACATATTGTATGTACAACCGGAGAATTAACAACAGTGGCTTGAATTTGTCCCAATTCTTTCCCCTTGTCCTTTGTCTACAGTGTTACCAGATCTCCTGTTTTAACAGGAGATCTCCTGTTTTCACTCTCACTCTCCTGTTCTACTGTTTTCACAATGAGATCTCCTGTTTTTAGTCTCAATGTCTATTCTTCTGGTTTCTCTATGAAATAAACTGTTGATTATACTAATTTTCCTCAGAATAAGAATATTTTAGTACGACGCTGTTCTCTAACGGCACTGTGTTCGTCACTTGTTAATATTTTCAGTCCTGTTATATTTTCTGTAGTCGAGTTCATGCAAGATCTTTTACTGATCTTGCAGTTCATGTACATATTTAAATTTTAAATCCGCAATTCGCGTTTATATGAACTGGGCCTAACAAGGCGTTTCGTTTCGTTCGTTTACTTCAGCGGGATTCTGGGATTTTTTATTTTGACAACTGACAGTTGTCAAATCACGTGACGTACCGATGTAATTGCAAACTATTAAACGAACTCCTACAATTATATATTATATAAATATAATATTTTGCTATATTTTGTGCATGTGTTCCTCTATTAGAAAATATATTTATTAAAATCTCCTGTTGAAAAAAGAAATCTCCTGTTTTTTTGGCTACATTTCTACTCTTGACAGAAATTTCCATCTGGCAACACTGTTTGTCTATCTCAAGTTGCAATGTTGACATACAACAGTCGAAATTTTCTAAAAAATTCCTGGTTATATTTTCCTGTCGTAGAAAAAGATCTGATAAAATCCGTTTGGCCAAGCCTATTATTATAAATTAACAATTAACCCAGTTTTGCTGATGAACCAGAGGTCAAAAACACTTGTCAGTTACTATTCTCAGTACCAGAATCAGGTCAGCAGGTTTTCAGTAGTGCAGCAAATGACAACATTGTTCCCTTTGTTCGAAGGATCCCGCGGTAAAATTGGAGAGAAAACTGGCACCCGCTTAAAAATCTAAAAATAAAAATAATGTCTTTGGCCTCTCAACACTGATAACGTGCAAGCCTTGGGTCTTTCCCGAAATAATATTTAATGAAATCCCTCACGAGATTTTTAGAATTGTTTAGGTGATCGCAGCTGAAATACCTCTCCCATAAATAAGTTAGAAATGAGCGTTCACTTCCCATTTTGACAATAAACAACTGAAATGAATACTGTACTGTTTTCACTTCATATATTTGGAATAATCACTTTTAACAGCGTTTTTTATTAGCGTTTACAATACAATATGATCTTTGATATTCTATTACAAACAGAATTAAGTACACCTCTTTGCATAAGTTTTTTTCAAATATAAATTATTGGTTTCAATTCCAGTCAGCAGACATTAAAAAAACTTTTTTATAACTAAACAGAATTCTATCAAACTTTTTTAACATTATGTTTATAATAAATTTATAAATGAATATATATTTTATTAATACACAAAAAAATTAAATGAATAAATTTTTCACACAATACAAGCTGAGTAATAGCATTGTATAAGTAAATTACTTATACAATGGTAATAGCTTGTTGAAAGTTGGACCTTATTCGTCAAACACCAAAATTGAAAGTTTGAACGTGAAATAACCAAAAACCAATGCATTTTTCAGGGAATGCTAATAGAATCATTTTTAAAGTGCTTGAAAGCCTTAGCCTAGCATCAAACCTAAGCGAGTTATGACGAAAATAATGTTGGTCCATATTTTTTTCAGCGACAAAAAACGTGAAAATCACCCCAATTGAAAATAATAATCGTTACCACTTTACAATTTACTTTATTTATGTACTTGTAATATGCTCTAGAAGTTTGACCGGTTTAAAGTGCTTATTTTTGAAAAAAGTTGACCTTAAAGTGAAAAGAGAATTTTTGTATTTTTGAAAAAATTTGTAGAGTACGAAATTGTAGGGTTTGCTTTTTGAAAATATTATTTTTTTTCTGTAGGATAAAAATTAAGTAAGATATGGCCTTTAAAGTTTGCATATGTTCATAAATAGCAACTTGTTCAAGCCCTTTCAGCTCAAACCCTTACAAAAATAAGGGCTGAAGGAAAAAAAAACTACAAAATGATTTTTTGAAGGGCTTGATAGCATAAAAACTAATTGTAAGCGAGTTATGGGTAAAAAACCAATCACATATTTTTGTAGATATCATTTTAGGAATAGAAATAGGAATTTTTGGAATAGAATAGAAAAGGGAGACGAGAGTGAAGAGGATTTTTGATTATTTATGCTATTTGCAATAAAAAAATTTTGTTATAAAAATAAAGTTAAAATCCATATAAAAATAAAATTCTTATTTTCCCTATTTTTGATTGTAAATTTTAATCAGTAGGTTTTTTTTAAGGTTTGATAAAATAAATACATTAACATTACATTTTAATAGGTAATAAAAAGGTTGTATTATATTTTGAACATTTTTTAACTGTAATTGTTCCATTTTTTTTTGCAAGGGGTGGTTTTTATATGTGTTGAAACTTATAAATAAATAATGAAAAATTAACAGTAAAGAAATCTTAATTTAATATCACTATATGATTAAATTATTCCAAGTTGCTGAATAATATTTTTCAACATTATTTTTTAATGATTACTGTGATAGGGAGTGGTTTTTAGAGGCTGACTGAAGTGGACACCCCATTTTCCACTTGGTCATGGAAAAACTATCATTTTGTAGTATAAATATTATGAAAAACATGTTTTACATAAAATCTAATTTCTACCGAATGGTAAACAACCTGCCTCCTTTCACAATAAGTGAGGAAAATAGTTTTTTCACGAATGTATAAATCATTACCATGGAAAATACTTTACAGCACTATACTTTCTCTAAACTGACAGATAAATAGGTCTTTTTTAAATATGCAACAATTTATTTTTTATCGTTCTTGATAATTCTTCAAAATATGCCAATAATAAGGTTTTCGAAACTAAATTAAAGTGGTCTTGTGGCTCAAAGCGTTACGCGTTGTCCTACTATTCTAAAGGTACGGGGTTCGATCCCTGATGAGGTATGTTTTTTTTTCAATTAATATAATATTTCGAATGCAATTTTCCATCGTCCACATTTCAAGACAAATATTTCCGCAACAATTGCTGGTCACGAAGTGAATAATTTCTCACAGTGTTGCCAAATATCTGCTGATTCGAGGCGCGTTAGATTGCTTGTTTAATTCTGTCAGAAAATCGTGAAACATAAAATACAGATAAGTAGGTATAGACCAAGCAAATTAAATTTTTTACTCGAATAAAGTCCTATCCGCGAGATTATTGTAAAATTGTCTAAATGAACATAAATACATCTCTCATCTCGTGAGTCAACAACTTTTATTAGCTAACTTTTCCATTTAAACACAGACATCTTGTAGGGAATAAAATTATCTACAAAATGAGACTTTTTAAATTAAAATCGGTTAATAAACAAAAAAGTTATTGCAAAAATACAAGAATTTGTACCCATTTTTTAATTTGTTTATAACTATCGCATTTATTGTTAAAATTTTATAAAACCTATGACAAGTTGAGGGTTTTGTCATACTTCAAAAGTGTGCCAAAAGTGGGCGCTGTAGGTGCAATAGTTTTCGCACAATTCTATTTGTTTATAACGGAGGCTCCAAAAGTTATGAACTTTAAGCCGCTAATCTTAAAGACGTAGTTAAGCGACCTATTAAAAAATATCATCGTTTTTTTAACATTAACATTCTCAAATTGTCCATTAGAAAATCGTGCGTTTTTCGCTTAAAAACAATTTGAATAAAATTGTTGCTATTTATGGTACCTCACCGAAAATAGATTTAATGGATAGCTGGCAAAAAAATACAATTTTTTTTTAAAAGCATTCATTTTGTAGATAATTCTATTCCCTACAAGTTGTCTGTGAGTCACTTTTCGCTAAAATTGATGATTTTCCCTGCAAAATGAAAAAATTGTTTCACATTTTTTAGCTGTAATTGTTCGATTTTTTTTGCAAGGGGTGGTTTCTATAAGTGTTGAAACTTATAAATAAATAATGAAAAGTTAACAGTAAAGAAATCTTAATTTAATATCACTATATGATTAAATTATTCCAAGTTGCCAAATAATATTTTTCAACATTATTTTTTAATGATTACTGTGATAGGGAGTGGTTTTTAGAGGCTGACTGAAGTGGACACCCCATTTTCCACTTGGTCATGGAAAAACTATCATTTTGTAGCATAACTTTTACGAAAAACATATTTTACATAAAATCTAATTTCTACCGAATGGTAAACAACCTGCCTCCTTTCACAGCGAGAGAAATTTCGCAAGGTTTAAAATAGATGTTATTTGGGAGAAATCGGCGCATAGGTCGAGTTTTTGAGTTTAACGTTGTGTTTTCAGTAGATATTTCTTATTTGCCTTGGTTTTGTGCCAACTCGTACAGAAAAAACATAATCTACTTGTCTGTTAACTTGTCTACGAGGAGTTGTTGAATGAAACTAACAGTTGGTTATCAAAAACCGTTATAAGAAATGTATTATAGGTAGACTGCGTCTATATTCAACGATTATATAGTATAGATTTTTATTTTCTGGCAATCAGTTGTCGAATTGGGATTAGGAGTGGGTGAGGATCTATATTATTTTTTTTGCTGGCATTGGGAGTCAGTTGGGTTTAAAATTTAAAAAGTTGTGGTGTCAAGAACTGCCATTTTAACAGTGTGAGAAAAAAATGGCTGTACCGCATACACGATGGTCAATTTGAAAATGTACATGACTAACGGGATTACTTAAACTAGAAAAAAACACAGACTTGGTTAAAATATAATGAAACTGAACATAAGTTGTACTGTTTTTGGTCAGAATTCATTTGCTTTTCGTAGCACCTGTGATTAAATCAAGTTAATTGTGAAATTGACATTTTTTGATTCCTAATAAAGTAAGAATTAAAAAGAAACAAGGATCAGGTTTCAGTGTGTTCAGGATATTTCAGGAGAGACATCAATATCTCTTCTATTCTGGAATGTCATGAAATGTGACTAGCTCTGGATTTCTTCAAGTCTAGGAGATCCTAATTGTGTACATTTTAAAAGTGATCACCCTGTATGTGAATAGGGTATTTTTGAAACAAATACCATGAAAGATGATTTTTTTAATCAAATTTTGGTCCTACATGTTCCAAAAAACAATGTAATACAAAGAAATCTGGTGCAGGTATTTTTTGGGTGTGTGTTATTAGTTATTCACCATCCGCTAGATGTCGCTAGCTACAATCTTTTCCGATGACATTTTATGATATAACTCTTTGAGGTCAAATTTCATTTTGTATAAAAAATCGCTAAAAATGCTCATTTTCTGAGGAAAACGCGACTGGCTGTCCCAAAATCAACCAGCTTCTATTCTTTAATATACAAGTGTAGCTTTTTACATTGTAATATAGGTCATATTCTGTAAAGAACCTAACCTCAAAAAAGATATGTCACAGAATGTCGCTGACAAAGATCGTAGCTAACGACATCTAGCGGATCAAAAACTAACAGCACTGACCTAACAAGCGCTCTCAAAAAATACCTGCACTGTATTTCAATCAATTTTTGGAAAAGATACGGTTAAAACTTGGTTGCAAGAAAGTTAGGACCATGGTTCATGGGAAATTCGTCTTATTTTGTATGTCCTAACCATAATTAAAATCTTTTGACGTATAACTGTATCAATATATTATTTACAATTTTTCTTTTAGTAAAATGTCTCGAAAGACCATCCTCAGTAGGCCCCGCACCCGCCTCTACGACGCCAACTACAACATCGGCGAAAGCTACTACAAACCGGCCCTGGACAGATTGGATAGGAAGTACTCGGGCAGGCCCCTGTCTCCCCCACCGCGAAATTCCTTCGGTAGGCTGTTCAATCGTTTCCTATTCTAACTACACCATGCCTGAATACAATAAATGTTACCCCCATTATACATTTACTGTGAAAATAAACAGTTAGCGATGAGAAATTTTTATCTGTATGCCAATCAACACGGCCTTTCAAAACCCGCTTTGAACGCTTGTTCTGCAAATAAACCGAAATCCTCGTGAGAATTATGCAGCTGCCTCGAAATTTGCACGCCTACGGCTTTGGGAAAACTGCGACGTATGGATATATTTAGTATGTTTTGTAGGCACTCACATTAAAAATGCTGTAATAAATTGAAACTCAAAATGGAAGTGCCAAGAGCAACAACACGTTGATCGACGTGTTGAGTTATTGAGGAAAAAGCTTTGGCAAAAAATCAAACATTTCTTTGGTTAAAGTCGTGAGATAAACAGAAAACACGCAACTTATTTTTTAGACGATCGTAAGGAATATACAAACAATTCCTCAAAAAAAAAAACATAAGCTACAAGCTCTTTGAAAAGATGGTAGCTTTGTTAATTTCAAACATTTTTTCTTATACGAACATAGGTCTGATTCGTTTTTGTTTAGAATTACAAGCATTTTAAAAAATATAATTTCATATTTCAATCAATTGACGGTTGCTATAACAATAACAATTGGATGGCGTTATGCAGAAAGCTACCAACCCACAATAGTGACAAACCGAGATAATCAACTCTAAAGTTTCTATTAATTTAAAAAATCTGTAGGATGTTTAAATACTACTTTGTAATTTTCTTTTGATTCAAGATAGGTCTTTTGATATTTTATCTATGTTTAAATATTTTATATATAAAATAAAGGTAAAAATGGCTCTTGTTTTTCTATTTTGATTGATTGTAATTGAAGAACCCCATATTTGCAGAAAGCTAACAACCCACTTGAGTGCATCTGGCACTATATTAAACTAAAACCAAGTGGGTTGGTAGGTTTCTGCAAATTATAAGTATAATACCAAGTGGGTTGGTAGGTTTCTGCAAATTAAAAGTTTCGACAAAATACATAATGTGGGTTAGCATTTTATAGTTTTATAGGGTATATAATTTATTTAGGCTTGGTAGGTTTTTACAGAATGCAGAACGCATATTTTATTAACCAAATATGCACCTAACTCAATATCTGGTATATTGTGGGTTGGTAGCTTTCTGCATAACGCCGTCCAATTATTTGTTTTTATAGTTTTAACATTAATAGGCTATTGAATATAGGATTATTACACCAATCGTTCAAATTGTCATTTTGGATGAAAAAACCGGGGAGTGCTATTAAATTAGAGGGTGGAAATTGGAGATAGGGCTGAAAATGCACCCCTTTCAGTTTTTTTAACTGTAGCATAGGAAAAATTATTTAGAGAATTTAATTTCCCATCGAAATAGCATATTTAAAAAATTTAAAAGGAAAATTTTATGCAAAAAATCGTTATGAAACAATTTAAAAAAAGCAAAATTATATTTTCTGATTTTTTTACTTTTTTGCCTCTAGTTTTTTTTTGAGTAAAGATAGGTATAGGCATTGCTTTATAGAAAAAAAAGTAGATAAAATTTCCTTCAAAACAAGAGGTTGTAAAGTATTATTTAGTCCAGGGAAGTTAGGAAAAATAGCGGAAATTTTTAGGTGAAGCAGATATCGAGATGCGGTTTTCTGCATTGTGTTCAGGAAGATCCCAGGGAAAAAGTCTAAATCGTCTGGTTAAGCCATTTCTTGAAAAATGCCTTCTGGGCCGGAAAATGCATTTTCCAATTGTACCATTACTTGCACCATTAACCATTATAGGAACGACTGGAAACTCGGAAAAATCGCTTGGAAATCGTTACGCGGGAGTTTTCGGGGCTGCCGAACTCGATTCTGGCATTAGAATTACGCGGGGGTGCACGGGGGTGGCTCTGTGGGGGTGCGCGGAGGGTGAATTGGGGGAGAAATGGCAGCGTGCATGAAAATCGCTCCAAACTCGTTACTCGGGGGTTTTCGGGGATGCCGAATTCAATTCTGGCATTAGACTTCCCCGGGGGCCCTCGGGGGTGGCTCTGTGGGAAATGGTACAGGAGAAAGTGAAAAATCAGAAATTATGAAAATGATACTTTATTCAAATAACAAATAGGAGTTTTTATTAATGTTGAATTATTCATTATAAACTTAAATTTTTAACTTAAATACTAAACATCTTGTTCAAACTCTTCTTCTTCTTCTTCCCCTTCTTCATCTTCCTCGTCACTATTCTCGGCCCCGTTGGAAGTGCCTTTTTGGTTTGAGCAATTGCCATCGCAATGCAAGTGACTTCAACCCACTTCCAAAGCAATTGTTTTTATAATATGTGTAATATTTATTTATTTAATATTCAATCAAAATTTTTATTATTCATACCCCCGAGTAATTCTAATGCCAGAATTGAATTCGGCATCCCCGAAAACCCCCGAGTAACGAGTTTGGAGCGATTTTCATGCACGCTGCCATTTCTCCCCCAATTCACCCCCCGCGCACCCCCACAGAGCCACCCCCGTGCACCCCCGGGTAATTCTAATGCTAGAATCGAGTTCGGCAGCCCCGAAAACCCCCGAGTAGCGATTTTCGAGCGATTTTTCCGAGTTTCCAGTCGTTCCTATAATGGTGCAAGTAATGGTGCAATTGGAAAATGCATTTTCCGGCCCAAACTTAGCCAATTCAATTTTTGAGTGGGAAGTAGCTATACATATAGAGTAAAAGTCAAAATTGAAAATTTTGTATTAGGACATAATTTGAGGTTATAAACAAATTTGTTTTATAAAAATAATAATGAATGGTACTTCTCTCTTGAGTATTTTCGTGTTTTTTTTTTTAAATTTATGAGCATCCTGTATATCTAATCTAAGATGTTTGTATGACAGTCTCATTTTTTCGAGGGGCAAAACTTTTTATGAAGAGTGACATTTTTCGATAAAGTCAAAAACAAAAGAGTTTCTCCTCTTGTCAACTCCATCTGTGGACACACTGTATATACATTATTAATAAACTTTATTGTACTTAAATTATCAAGTTGTTACTAAATGATTTTATTAAAAAAGTAAAAAAAAAAAATCAAAAAATATTTTTTGCTTTCTTTATAATTGTTTATTAACGATTTTTTGCATAAAATTTTCGTTTTATATTTTTTAAATAAGCCATTTCGATGAGAAATTCAGTTCTCTACAAAATTTTTCTTATGAACTATACTGAAATTTTGCTTCATTTTCATGCTATATTTAAAAAACTGCAAAAGTGCTTATTCACCCCTTTCTTCAATTTCAACCCTCTAATTTAATAGCACCCCGCGGTTTTTCATTTTTAATGACCCTTCGAACAAGTCATGTGATGAAAATCCTTGAACGTCTTATTTCCTTCCTTTTTTTGCAAAAAAATGAGAATTAAAACGTATAAGGGTAACCGCGACGAAAATAGACAAATTATCTAAGTTTGAACGACCATATATCAGTCAATTTTCATCCAAAAATACTTTACAGCCTCTTGTTTGAAGGAAATTTTATCAACTTTTTTTTCTATGAGGCAATGCCTGTACCTATCTACTTAAAAAAAAACTAGAGGCAAAAAAGTAAAAAAAGTCAAAATCGAATTTTTTGCTTTTTTTAATGATTTTTTTGCATAAAATTTTCCTTTCAAATTTTTTAAATAATCTGTTTCCATGGATTTTCAGTTCTCTAAATAATTTTTCCTATGAACTATAGCGAAATTTTGCTTCGCTTTCGAGCTACAATTAAAAAACTGAAAGGGGTGCATTTTCTTGGCTCGAATGCAAGTCTCGCTTCGGCTAACTAAAGATTCCGCCACTTGTCGGATGAGATTTGGATAATTTCTTATCTCCTTAGGCGATGAACAACCTCGTTAAGGTTGTGAGTGTTCAAAATTAAACATTACGCACAACCACTTCCACGGCAAATCAAAACAGATCGATCATACGTCAAGTTTACCTATCTACAGGTGACATAGCCGACCGTCACGCCAGGATCTTCGCCGACGAGGACCTGGACATCTCCCGGAGGCGTGCGGAGAAGCACATCAAAGACGAGAACCTCTTCGACTCTCGTGGAGCTCGCATCGGCCAGAGGGCTGCCATCGAAAACTTCGAGAACGATGTAAACGACGAGGTGCGACGTTTTTTCTTGTAATTAACCGTTTTCTGAGGGGCTGGGGCGCACTCGAAGCTGAAGAAAAACGGGAATTCTTAGAATAATATCTCCCACTTGCAGATTTTTCTTCAGATTCGATTCCGTCCCTCCCACTAGTTTGTTAGTGGAGATTAAAATAGTCTGAACGTAAATCTTCTCGCCCACTCAGCATCAGTTGGATACTATCTGCATGCCAATAATAATAGTAATGTTCATTAACTAATTGTTTATTGTTGCAATGTATTTATAGCTGTTGAGGTAATATATCGATTTCGTTTTAGTACGAGTTTTGTCAGTTAAATCCATTCATTCACCGTCAGAATGGGCGAGAAATGGTTCGAGGTTTTGGGGAAGAAGTTAACCAAAAGTTTCCCTTATTGTTTTCTTCAATATTCAAAGAACTAGATCGATTAATAAATACAAATGTGGGTTTTTCTTTTCCCGCAATATCTTTATGATTGGTATGCTATTATTTTAATGCGAATTCCTTTTTGTGGAACCGTTTCTCGCTACATTTTTTTAAAGAAAACCAAACCAGTGTCGCCAGTTTGGTTTTCAGGTTTCATCCCCCAAAAACCAAAAGGAGAATGCTGTCAAACTAAATTGTACTCTCCATCATTTTTATTTTGAGTTTTACTCCGTTTTTATATTTTTGTTGTAAAAATAAGAGGTAATTTAGCAGAAAAAACACATTTTTTTTTAATTTTTGTACATATTTATCTTTTCTCAACTGTGGTTGGCCTTAGAGTTAGCAGAAACATTAAAAAGTGACCCCTATAATTTTCTATTTCCATTGAAAAGTACAGTGCCTGTAAGAAAACCAATATCACATTTCTTTCGGCAAGGTTAGTATGATTTCACTGTACGTTTATTAAAAAAAAAACTTATAAATTAACTATTAGACTAGATATAAAAGTTTACTTATATCTGAGCACTAGTAAAACTTACTTTGTCACAATCTGTCCATATTGCACATTTCTCATGTCGCAAACCTTTTAAACAATCATCAGTATGTTTGTACGTATTTTTCTACTAATAATGCTTTTGTGTGACATGCTGCTTACTACATACTTAATCGTTGACGCTTTAATAATGCAGCAGATAACGTTGATGATGCTATTAAGCAGGTATATTTTATTTTTTAATATACACCAAAGCTGTGCGAATTTATTATCTTGATATAATTTTAATTTCTAGATTAATATACTATACTATTACTTGTTTCATGGAAATTTCAAAATCTTTATAAATCTTGTTAAACTTTATTGAATTGTTTCATAATTTACTATATCGCAGATAAATTCACATGAAACAGAACATGATGAATCTTATAGGGTCGAGCACAGTATCATGTCAGAAATAAAGGACTGTTTTTTCGTAGAACAGTTGATTTTGCTTCTATTTGAGATACAGTTGTTCAAAATCACGCCCCTCTGCACCCTTTGATATGTTTTCCATTTTGCTCGGACATTTTTCAAACCAAATTTCATTCTAATAACTTCATTCTTTCAGAAGAGAAACATTTTAACACTGTATCTCAAATAAAAGGGCAAATATAAAGTAAATATTTTTAAATCCTTATGAGGGAAACGTTCATTTTCCATTTCACATTCATTTGAACATACGCTCTCCTCAAGCTTATCGCCATTCCCGGCCGTGTCTATTCCACAACTAAAAAACATTTCTGCTCCTCATTGTAGACCTCAGCGACACTAAAGCGCATCCGGGCCAGCAAAAAGGTCTCGATGATCGACGACGTCGACCTCGACGGCATCTCCAACAACCTGAAATCCCACAGACTCCTCGACCGCTCGGAGAAGATCCTGGACAGCGTCGGTCTCAACGACAGCCCCAGAAGGGCCATAGAGAACGGCACCTCCTCCTACAAGCGCAAAGCCCTCAAGGTCACCTTCGACGGAGACGCGAACGATGAGTTGGACAAGTGGACGCCCATCGAGAACGTCAGAGCTGTGAAGGCTAGGCAACAGGAACAAGTCACTTCGGTCAGGGCCAGGAGAGAAGACGCCTCGGCTTCCATCAGATCAGACACCTCGGCAGCCATGAGGGCGAGACAGACGAAGGAGAGGATCACCGACATAGAGGACGAGATGGCGGCTATGGCGGAGAAGCAGGCTGCCAGAGAGGCTCGAGTGGCGAGACTGAGGGCGCTGGTGGCCGAGACAGAGCAGGAGTCAGAAGCTTTCGAGGTGGCCCAAGCGGCGATAGAAAGAAGGAGCGCCCGTAGGGAAAAACTCCAGGATTAGGATGGGTGGGCGGTCTTGGTTTTAGTTAAGTTGGGGAATTTGAGATTTTCTACTTGTAATTTTCGTACTCTGCATTTTCTTATGTCCGCTTCGATGTATATAATGTAATTATGGTCTTAAATAAAGAATTATGTATTGATGCGGTGGTTCTTTTATTTTAATGACATGTATATACAGGGTGTTTCGTATAAGAACCTACACAGAGGCATGTAGGGGAACCCATATGGTAATTTAATGCAACTTACCTTTATACTATGCTACACCACTGAGAAGAGCATTAATTGACAGTAAATAGAGTTGAATTGAAGCATTTTAAAGGGTTGATAAGGGATGATGTAACCTTTACAGTTTTAAATACCAGCTTCGACTGCGTCAAAGGTTGCAGCCATAACATCTTTAGGACGCAACACCATCGGAAGGGTGGCAAATTTTATTAAAGATACCTACATTTACTCCACTGCCGGATCTATTTCAAGAGTCTGCACAGCTATTAGGAAAGCTGGGGATACCCCCGCCGTATTTTCTGTGGAGACGTTAAAATAGTACATGGTATCAGCCCTCAGACTAGTAATACTGACTAGAACATCAGGTCTCTCTGGTGCGTCCATTATTTCGTATGTCTGATTGAAGTGGGTCCCATTGACGTAGAGGGCCGTAACGTTACATCTGTTCAAGGAATATTTCTCCAAGCTCCAGGTGGTGTTGATTTCGAATGAGCCCTGCCTTAGCTCTACCAAAGTAGGCTTGTTGGCTGAAAAATTCATATTGAGAGAAACAAGTGACTTTAAAGACATATAAAACTAAATAGAATTCTTGGTTGAACAATTTCAGCACTTTCTCTGCAACAGAGGGCGATACGTCTCTGGAAACGTCAACCAATGACCACTGAATACAGCAGCCACTGAACAAAGCCTTGGTAAATTCAGTTAATTGTTACTCACTTTTCGCTGGTACTGTGTAGTTGAACTGCGCTGTTGTACCGTTAACGCTTTTGTAGTGTGCAGTTACATCAAATCTGTAGTTCATACAGTGTGCCACGTCCTTAACTAGGTAGCCATTTTGGCCGATATTGAAGGAATCCGGCGTGTCTGAATCTTCATGCCAACTGAGAACGTGGTAGTGCTCTACGCAGCTGGTGAAGTTCTCATCTATGTGCCACTGGATCAAGACACCTTCGCCTATTTGGACGCCTGTAAAATTCTGCACGACTATGTCTGTACCTAAAAGAGAAGTCACTGTTTTTTAATGTATATACGATAGAGTAGATGGAGCAACAAAGCAGCAAACATTCCCTGATAATTACAAATAAATGTTTTATCATTTGATAGTTCAGAGAAAAACGAATCTCGATTCGAAGTGCGTTCTACACTTTTCAGTGCATACTTACCTTCAGGCAAATCAATCTCTGAAAGCAAAGTAGTTTCTACCCCTAACAAGTGATTTGCTGTCGGGGTAATAGTGAAACTATAATCTGCGCAGAGTTGTAGGAAGGATACATCCAAACTTAGCGAGCTGACAGTATGTGCGTATAATATACCAGATGATCTTATGACGATTCTGTAATGGGTATCTTCGCAGTTGTCGCTCGAAGACCACGACAAAGTGCTGACGTTGAGTTCTATGGTTTCCACTGGTTCAGGAACTGAAATTAATAAATCACATTTGGAAACATTTGCAGAGAAAAGGTTATATTAACGCATTTCATTCATCAAACTTACTGCAATTTTGTGCCCAAGTTCCTAAAGTGACCAAGAAAACCGTAAAAACACAAATTTTGCAGAGCATCCTGAAGCAAGTGTTTATCTCTGCTATTATTTAAAGTAATGAGACATAATCGTCTTATATTAATCATGACAGCTAATTCTTCAATTTTTGATTGGCCACTTTTGATATTTTGGATTATCGCATCAGATTAAATAAAAGAGTAAACAGTTAATTGAAATAATTATTCATACAACTAATATTTAATTCCAAGTATTAATGAAGGTTTGAAAATATTTGACGTTGTTTTAATATAACGCATCTGTTGATGTATGTCTTATTACCCTTTTCATAATTCCATATTTATTGTTTCGTGATATCGATTGAAACGTGAAGAAACTTCCCCGCAAACACTCCAGCTGGGATAAAGTACTTGTCACTTCTTTATCTTTGGTAATAACAATTGTAGTCAAGCTTAAAAATATATAAAATATCTATTTTTCGGTTTGAGTGTACTAAGGTTATTGTTAAATGCTGTTATTTAGATAGCTTATCTCTTAATCCCAATCACATGAGAGATATTACCTTAAAGTGGTTCTGAAACTCTATAATTTATAACAGAACACGTTGCTACTAACAAATAACTTAAGGTGATTAGGAAAAGATCACGATTTAGTAGTAAAGCTGTAATCGGTTCTTCAGATTAATAATTGTAGTAATTTTTAATTAAATGTTTATCGGGATTATTAAGTTAAACCATTTTATTACGGCCCTGATCAGGGCTTCTCCATCCAAGGACACGAAAAAGTGGCTACAACGGAGTGGTACTGCTGGTTTATATACGCAAACCTTTGTTGTCAGGTGTAGATTCAATTTTTATTTTAATGTTATATACAGTCAACGTAAATACAAAAATTTCATTATACATCTTTCGATTCGACACAGTAGAGGTAGAAAACTGCATCTCTTTTTTTAAAGAGACGAATTAAATAATAGACCGGGGAACCTATTATTGAGATCGTCATGTGACAGTCAATAGTAAATAATCTCTTATTTAAAATGTCAATGCCTCAGTTCCAACACGTGTCGACGCTTTGCCAAGCAATTTTAACACTGGAGATCTGCCAAATCCTCAGAGAATTGCGAACGATATTAATTAAACTGTAGTTTGTTTAGCAAAGGGAATTACAAATGCTAGAACATAGCATTTAAAGTAAGTGGTCTAATATATTAAACGGAAAAAAATATTAATGTATCTTGCAAGTAGAAGGGAAACAGCTCAATCGGAAAATAGAGATATACCCAAGCTAATCTAACGATAAAACAATCACGTACAAGTTGATTTAGTTATTTTAATTAATGAGTAATAAATTTCTCAATATAAACATTTTCATAAAGATATAAGGGGTACTTGAAAGAACAATAGATGTATCGGCTTAAAATAAATATTGCACAACCATAAAGTATAGGATGTTTTTTGAAGAATGAATAAATCGGGATGAGACAATTCAAATTTTTTTATACATTCTGATTTGTCGCCTTTAGTAAGACACACGACAGGCACACTGCATTTCTTTCGCGAAATCAAAACAAAGTAAAGATTTAAAACAATAAATGACTTCAGTAATAAACTTGAAATAGTAATTTTTCTGTTTACTACAAAAAAAAAAAAAACAGAAAGAAAGAGCACGACACGCCATTTGCTGCTACAACTATTCACATCTGTTTATGTAGTATGTAACTCGGGCACGATTCCGGAGGTTTTCAATAATGTTTCAACTATTTTAATTATCATTAATTTTAAGGACTATGCTTACTAAAAATGGTTATTATTATTGAACCATATATAATTAAAAATAAATAACAGTGAACGAAAATATTTTTTTCTAGAAGTTTCTGAACAGTTTTAGTACTCTTAAGTCACATAGGGCTTTTTCAAGAAACAGTTAAATGTTTTGTAAACTTATTTATTTCACAATTTGACATTATTTATATAATACAAAAAAAAAGTTTTATTAAAGATACATTTTGAAAAACATTTAGTCAACTGACGGGTCTATTTCAAGAGTCTGCACAGCTATTAGGAAAGCTGGAGATACCCCCGCCGTATTTTCTGTGGAGACGTTAAAATAGTACATGGTATCAGCCCTCAGACTAGTAATGCTGACTAGAACATCAGGTCTCTCTGGGGCGTCCACTATTTCGTACGTCTGATTGAAGTGAGTCCCATTGACGTAGAGGGCCGTAATGTTACATCTGTTCAAGGAATATTTCTCCAAGCTCCAGGTGGTGTTGATTTGGGACGAGCCCTGTCTTAGCTCAACCAAAGTTGGCGTGTTAGCTGAAAAATTCGACGGTGTAGAATATGCAGGGAAACGATACAAGTGACTTTCAAGACATAAACAGAATCATCTATGGATACATCTATGGAAACGTCAACCATTGGTAAATTCAATAAGTACTACTCACTTTTTTCTGGTACTGTGTAGTTGAACTGTGCTGTCGTACCATTAACGCTGTTGTAGTGTACAGTTATATCAAACCTGTAGTTCATGCACTGCGCCACGTGCTCCACTAGGTAGCCATTTTGCCCTATATATAAGGAATCTGGCGTGTCTGTATCCTCATGCCAACTGAGGACGTGGTAGTACGTTATGCAGTTCGTGAAGTTCTCGTCTACGTACCACTGTATCAAGACATCTTCGCCTATTTGAACTCCTGTGAAATTCTGCACGACTATGTCTGTATCTAAAAGAGAAGTCAGTATTTTAATGTAAATGTGATAGAGTAGATGTATATCGAACGAATCTCGGTTTGCTCGACCCTTCTTGGTACACACTTACCTTCTGGCAAAGCAATCCCTGAATCCAAAGAAGTTTCCAACCCTAGAATGTGATCAGCTGAAGGGGTAACAGTGAAACTGTATCTTCGGCAGAGTTTTAGGAAGGAAACGTCCAAACTTAAGGAGTCGACAGTATATTCATATTCTATGATGCCAGCTGATCTTATGATGATCATGTATTGGGTCCCTTCACAGTTGTCGCTCGAAGACCACGACAAAGTGCTGGCGTTGAGTTCTATGGTTTCCACAGGTTCAGGAACTGAAATTAAAAAAATCACACACATTTGGTTATATTAACACATTTGATTGATCAGACTTACTGCAAAGTTGTGCCCAAGTTCCCCATGTTCCAAAAGTGGCCAAGAGAATGGTAAAAATACAAATTTTGCAGAGCATCCTGAAGCAAGTGTTTGTCTCTACAAGTATTTAAAATAATGAGACATAATCAATCGTCTTATATTAATCGTGATAGGTAATTCTCCAATTTTTGATTGGCCACTTTTGATATTTTGGATTATCGCATCAGATTAAATAAAAAAGTAAACAAATGGGTTCATTGGAATAGTTACTCATGCAATTAATATTTTAGTATAGATTTATGCCAAGTATAAGTGTAGGTTTGGAAAATATTTATTATCGTTATGTTAGAAAAACATCAAGTTGCACTTGTTGCATTATATCGTACTTTCTTTTCCATAATTCTATATTTATTGTTTCGTAATGTCGATTGAAACGTGAAGAAACTTTCCAGCAAACACTCAAACTGGGAGATAAAATACTTGTCGCTCTTCTTTATCTTTGGTAATAACAATTGTAGTCATTTTTAAAAATATAAAAAATATCTATTTTTCTGTCTGGGCGTAACTAAGGCAATTGTTAAATGATGTTATTTAGATAGCTTATCCCTTAATCCCAATGACATGACATCTGAAAATTATAAAATGATGTAATATTTTACTTACCTAATAGAGGACCGAAATTTTAATTTAATATAAAAATTGGTAAATTGAAGACAAATATTCCAATGCACACTGCACAGAAGCAGACTATCAGGTCTGTGCTGCATCTTCAGGTGCTAAATTAAATACATTAATGTAAAATATTTATTAAAATTATATATTTTTTTAGATTGTTGTGCTTTGTTAGTACATTGGAAAACTGTATTAAAAGAGGGAAAATAAATATTATGATTCAGGTGCAATACCTAAAATGTATTTCTTTATTTAGTGGTAGGGTTCTCAATACATTTTATCCATTTGAATAAGAAACTTGAACGTATTGGTAGCCATCAAAGCTATCGCCAATATCAAAGTCCAGTTCATACCCGATGGGCAGCGTCTGTACGGCCAACTGGAATGGCCTTGAAGTACCAGCTTCGTTCTCCACAGTCACATTGAAATAGTACATACTATTGGCCTTAAGACCTGACAAGTTCACGCTAATCGGCGGTCTTTCCGGACTGTCCTGGATGGGTATGGTTAAGTTAATTACGGTTCCGACGATTGTCAAAGACGTCACTGTGCACCTGTTAACTGAGTAGATCTCTAGTCCCCAAGTGATGTTGATGGTGGTGGCACTCTGAGTTACGGAGAGCAGAGAGAGATTGTTTGCTGGAAAAGTAGGATGTTTATAGTCGATTCACCAGTTGCATAGCAGCAGCGGTTGTGGTGGTTGGATTTCATTGACAATATGACTGGTAATATTATTGAAAGGAACTAGTGAAACACTAACTTGCAGAGGGGACTGTATAGTTAAAGGTAGACACGGGGTTTTCCGTTCCACCATATACCACAGACATATCCACTCGGTAGGTCATACAAAAAGGCGCATTGGTTATGTAGTAACCATTCATTCGCGTGGTTATTTCTTTTGGTTCGGAACTGTCCTCATCCCAAAGCAGTATCCTGTAGTGGTCCAGGCAATGGAGATATTCACGAAGAACTTGCCATTCTATAAGAATATTATTTCCTATTTGGGAACCTGAGATGTTGGTTATACCGATGCTGCTACCTGAAAAGTCAGAGGTAAAGATAACCAACAACAAGTAGTTGAATAGTATTTTCAGAGAATTGTTTCAAATTCTACTGATTTAACCCATTTATACCATTGGATTATCTAATTCTCACCTTCAGGAAGTGGTACGTATGCTCCAATCTGAGTGAAAGGCCCAGCAAGATTTTCTACACTGGAGTAAGCGCATACGGTGAAAATGTAAGATCTGCAGTAAGGGAGGAACGAAACGTCAATAGTGGTATCTTCGCCTTGATAGACGTATTCTATTTCACCAGCGTTTCGACTGTGAATGATAGTAACGTAGCTAATTCCTTCGCAGTTGGAAATATTTTGCCAAGACAGCGTGGTGTCTTCTAAATAGATGTTGAAAATTGGATCGGGGACTGGAATAAACAGATCAAGTGAAGTTTTGAATGAGAAAAGAAGAGAGGTCACATTTTTATAAATTTTCCTTATTTTGATAATTAATACTTCACAGTTTCTTTATGATTACCAGAGAAATTCGTTTTGATTTGGTATTCTTTCCTTGTAGAAGTTTTTGATCATTGATATGCATAATTAAATTACTTGCAATAACATTTATTTAGATAGTAGTCTGAGAAACCTCAGATAAGATAGCGTCTAATGATCTTATCAACATGAGGTGCCTATACTACTTTTTTAAATAGATTTAAGTGAAGTATATTAGTGTAACCAAAAGTAAGATGATATCTAAACCACTTTGTTAAGTTTTTTATGGAATATTGGGTTTATAAAATGTCATCGACAATAAGATTTGACCATTTAACATAGAAAAGTACCACTTACCACACTGTTGAGCTTTGGCCCCAATGAGGCGGTACACCAACAGACATACAAACACTCGACAGATCATCGCCAAAGCTTTGGTCTGTCAAAGTTAGATAACCCTCTAATTTATCTCAAGGGCATAAATTATCTACTACAGGTATTATACATATGAAGTCCAAGTGAACTAAGACACCACCAATATTTTGTCTAGTTGAGTTTGTCGTCAATATGACAGATAAGATTGTAAACAAAGTATTTTTTATATTCATCAGGATAGTGGAAGGATAGTATTAGTTTAATAAAACAGTACAACCACCTGGCTCAAAAACTATTTAATAAATATCACAACCACATCTAAAACATTAGGAACTATCAAAACTATCTATTTCTGAATCAAGTTTTAGAGACGGATCAATTGGCAATGTCTGTACGGCCATCTGGAACGCACCTGAGATGCCAGCTTCGTTTTTGACAGACACGTTGAAGAAGTACATACTGTCTGCTCTAAGTCCTGGAATACTCACGACGATATCTGGCCGCTCTGGGACGTCAGAGATGGGTATGGTGGCGGTAAACCTAGTGCCGTTGATGAAGAGGGCAGTGACATTGCATTTGTTAATGGCGTAGCTCTCGAGGGACCAGGTCGTGTTGATGGTATAGACGCCTTGTGTGACTGCCACTAACTTTGGGTTATTTGCTGCAAGAAGAAAGGTCTCTAAATATTATCATCTACGAAGAGAGGTAGAAATTGAAATTTCACAGTTTCTTGCCTAAGAGAACTATTGGATAAGACTTACGAATTGGTGTGGGTTATTTGCTGCAAGAAGAAAGGTCTCTAAATATTATCATCCACGAAGAAAGATAGAAATTGAAATTTCACAGTTTCTTGCCTAAGAGAACTATTGGATAAGACTTACGAATTGGTGGTACGGTGTAATTGAACTTAGCCACTGGGTGTTCCATGGTTAGGTGCACTACGGATATCTCCACGTCATAGTACATGCACTGGGATACGTCTGTTAGGTAATAGCCGTTCTGACTGGTCTCGAACTCCTGTGGAGCAGCTTCTTGTTCTTTCCAAATACGTACTTTAAAACTTTCCGCGCAGTAGCGATAGTCGTCGTCCACTTGCCACTGGAAGAGGACATCTCTGTCGATTTGGTCTCCGGTGAAGTTGAACACGGTGATGTCGGTACCTGGAAAATTTGGTGTCAAGTACTAAGAGAATTAGACTAGAATATCCTTTAGTAGCTACCTGTAGGAAGGGCTATTGTGGCTTCGTATTGAGACTCTGCTCCAAGGATGTGTTCTGCTATTGCAGTGACTGTAAATGTTAATGTCCTACAGAAGCTAAGGAAAGAAACGTCGAGCGAGGCATTATCGACTTGGTAGATGTACTCTAGCATGCCATTGTTGTGGATGTTGACGATGTAGTGGGTCGTGTTACAGTTGGTACTGGGATCCCAAGTTAGAGTTGTATTGTCTAGGTTGATGTTGTAAACCGTATCGGGTACTAAAATAATAATATATTAAACGATTATCATTGATAAAGTAAAAAGGTTCAGTTACTACTTACTGCATAGTTGTGCTTTGGCGCCGGTGGTGCTGCAAACAACCAACAGCGCAAAAACTAGCACTTTACGGATCATTATGAAATTTATGCGGCCCCAACTAGTGCTCAATCAGTCACTACTGCGACTTATATAAGGTGCCTGTAAGGATAATAATATTCATTACCTAAACCACTTCAGATATTGTTACCACGAGTGAGACTAGGTTTATCTGCGGATTATTGATATTGGGTTGGTTAATCGTCAAATGGATCTGCACTAATTGGGCGATAAGATTATCCGGGCTCTCTCAACTAATTTTCCAAGAAGAAATCCATCATTCTCATCGAAAGTCGTATTTACTAATTGCACAAGCCTGCCTGTTGGCGTTATCTGGAGATGACTCACGGGAAATCGCTTGTTCTTCGATAATCGAGTGCTGGTGACAATGCCAAATAATCAATAAGACAATCTTAGAAATACCTGCAGAGTAAATTTTAGATTATTTATTGTTATTGGGACGAAATATTTCGTAATGACTTATGCAGAGAAATTTAAAATTCGTTTAGATTTAATCACTTTATTTTCAAGTCCAAAATAGAAAGTACTAATAGTTCAAGTGATGTATGTAAATATATTGAGATAATTATTAGACAACTGTAGCCTTTGGTATAAAATAATTTCAGAATTTCAAAATTCCTCAATTTAGGTCTAAAATCTTAATAAACAATAGCTATGAAATATATCCAATAAGTTCTAGAGAGCATTAACATGGACCAATAAGGCTTTACAATAGAACATAGCAAATAGTTCAAAATATATTCAGATTACATAGAAATTCTATCAAAAGTTAAAGAAAAAGATCAAATATTTGGAAGTTTTCGCAGCATTTTTGTGTATTTTCCAGGTATTTTGAAGTTTGCCTACGTATTTAGTGCTTAAAATATTCTGAAAATTTCAAAATACTTCAAAATGCAATAATTGGGATATATAATATTTTGGTAAGTGAAACTGCTAAAAGCGTGAGTTTGTAGCATGAAAATCTACACAAAGATAGCGGTGACTTCAATCAATAATTCCTATAATTATCTGATTTCAGTAGCTCGATGATCTCTCTGGATAACAACAAGATTTTCTAAATCCTTAGCAAATATTTGGTTCAGATTAGCAATCGGTTTTGAAATACCTACGATTTTTTCTTGTTACATCATACCTGTAAATGTTTTGTGTACTACCTGACTACGTACAGTTTTTCAATAAATATTATTATGTTACTTAACGAATATTGTTGTTTAGAACACGGCGATTTTTATTTGTAGCGGAAGAGTTTGGTTCTTTGGCAGAATAGTGTCCCAATTCCCACAAAATGTCGTCTCTATTTTCCATTTTGGGTAATTCCAAAATAAGTTACCATGTTATTCTTGTTATAAGCTAATCTATTAATAATTTAAGTATCACAAATAAACAATGAACTTTGAGTGACACTTTGTTGTTAAGTCTTGGTATGCATTAAGATGAACCAACAAAAGTTAAGTCCAGTATGATTTTTTATTGATAAATATCTGTATATTTACATGAAACTTAAAATAACTACGCAGTTCTCAACATCACTGTCATTGTTACAGAGAAATGAATTTCTTTCTTATCGAAAATGAGATTAAATATAGGTCTTAGTAACAAGGCGACAGGGTATAAATGTCCTTTCCAGAAGTACCTAGTTCTGAAAATATAGTTCTACTTCTTTTAAACTCTACATCACAATTATATTTTCATGCCTTCTCACTGTCTTTTAATTTTTTTTTTCTATTCTAACCCAAAACCTTACAGCCTAAAAAAATATTCAGTCCAATCCCAACATGTTCTTATTATCAGATATTATTTTTCTAATCGTGCAAAGTCAAATGTCACTCCAGAATGTATGGAATACAGAATAGTTTTGTTACTAAACACCTTGATTTAATTGATAACAAATGTTGATAAGAAATTGAGATACTGTAGCAGTATATTTAGTGTTCTTTCTTTGTCATATCAAATATGATCATAGTCGGAGTTCCCTAGTTGTCTACTAGATTTATTTTTTAAATTAAAAACAATGAATCTTAATACAAATATTAAACCAATTATTTTTCCAAAGTCGACTCGAAAAAAGCAAAAAAAGTGTAATGAATTCAGTGTTATTAAGTCAATAAGTTGCAGGCAACGTTAGTGACACTGACGATTTGGTTAATAAATAGAGAACCTAAAAACTCTTTAAGATGTGATAAAGGATAGGTTAACAATTACTTGCATTGGTTGTAGATTATTTCTTCATTCTGGGATACAATTTGGTCTTTATCAAAAAACATAACGAGAAAATGTCGTGTTCCTAAAATATTTTTAATTTTTTCAGTTACCACGGTGTCTATTATCTGTAAGATCGTTTTATTCGACTCCGGGGTCGTAGTCTAGAGTCTGTACAAGGTTTAATAAAACATAGTACAACCACCTGGCTCAAAAACTATTTAATAAATATCACAAACATATCAAGAACACTAGGAACTATCAAAATGGTCTTCTTCTGAATCAAGTTTTAGAGACGGATCAATTGGCAATGTTTGTACGGCCATTTGGAACGCATCTGAGATGCCAGCTTCGTTCTTGACCGACACGTTGAAAAAGTACATACTGTCTGCTCTAAGTCCTGGAATACTCACGACGATATCTGGCCTCTCTGGGACGTCAGAGATGGGTATGGTGGCAACAAGCTGAGTGCCGTTGAGGAAGAGGGCAGTGACGGTGCATTTGTTAATGGCGTAGCTCTCGAGGGACCAGGTCGTACTGATGGTATGAACGCCTTGTGTCACTGCCACTAACTTTGGGTTATTTGCTGCAAGAAGAAAGGTCTCTAAATATTATCATCTACGAAGAGAGGTAGAAATTGAAATTTCACAGTTTCTTGCCTAAGAGAACTATTGGATAAGACTTACGAATTGGTGGTACGGTGTAATTGAACTTAGCCACTGGGTGTTCCATGGTTAGGTGCACTACGGATATCTCCACGTCATAGTACATGCACTGGGATACGTCTGTTAGGTAATAGCCGTTCTGACTGGTCTCGAACTCCTGTGGAGCAGCTTCTTGTTCTTTCCAAATACGTACTTTAAAACTTTCCGCGCAGTAGCGATAGTCGTCGTCCACTTGCCACTGGAAGAGGACATCTCTGTCGATTTGGTCTCCGGTGAAGTTGAACACGGTGATGTCGGTACCTGGAAAATTTGGTGTCAAGTACTAAGAGAATTAGACTAGAATATCCTTTAGTAGCTACCTGTAGGAAGGGCTATTGTGGCTTCGTATTGAGACTCTGCTCCAAGGATGTGTTCTGCTATTGCAGTGACTGTAAATGTTAATGTCCTACAGAAGCTAAGGAAAGAAACGTCGAGCGAGGCATTATCGACTTGGTAGATGTACTCTAGCATGCCATTGTTGTGGATGTTGACGATGTAGTGGGTCGTGTTACAGTTGGTACTGGGATCCCAAGTTAGAGTTGTATTGTCTAGGTTGATGTTGTAAACCGTATCGGGTACTAAAATAATAATATATTAAACGATTATCATTGATAAAGTAAAAAGGTTCAGTTACTACTTACTGCATAGTTGTGCTTTGGCGCCGGTGGTGCTGCAAACAACCAACAGCGCAAAAACTAGCACTTTACGGATCATTATGAAATTTCTGCGGCCCCAACTAGTGCTCAATCAGTCACTACTCCGACTAATATAAGGTGCCTGTAAGGACAATAATATTCATTACCTAAACCACTTCAGATACTGTTACTACGACTGAGACTATGTTTATCTGCGGATTATTGATATTGGGTTGGTTAATCTGCGTCAAATGGATCTGCACTAATTGGGTGATAAGATTATCCGTGCTCTCTTCAACTAGTTTTCCAAGAAAGAATCCATCATTCTCCTCGAAAGTCGTATTTACTACAAACCTGCCCGTTGGCGTTATCTGGAGATGGGTCAGGGGAACTCACTTGTTTTTCCATAGTCGAGTGCTGGCGACAATCCCAAATAATCAATAAGACAATCTTAGAAATACCTGCTGAGAAATCTTGGGATTATTTATTGTTATTGGGACGAAACGTTTTGTAGCGAATTATGTAGGAAAATTTTAAATTCGTTTGGATTTAATCACTTTATTATAAAGTCCAAAGGAGACATCTGGATCAATAAATTCAATTCCAGGAGGTGTCAACAGTTGAGTCAGTGATACATATATGTAAAGATATTAAGACAATTATTCGACCCAACTGTAGCCTTTGGGATAAAATAATTTCAAAATTTCAAAACAGCCAAAATAACCTAGCACAAGGGGGTTAATGAATCTGCAGCATCTTGATTTTCTGTTGAAGATATCCTTCAGCTAGTTTGTCGCCTTACAGTCTAAAAAAATGTATTCAATCGAATCCCTACCTGTCCTCTTATCAGATATTATTTTTTCAATGGTTCAAGGTCTCCGAAATGTATGTATTACATATTACACAATAGTTTTGTTAATAACTACCTTGTTTTTAGGAATTGACAACAAATGTTGATAAAAAAATTGAGATATTGTAGCGGTATATTTAGTGCTTTTTCTTTGCCACATCAAATATGATCATATAGTCAGAGTTTGCTAGTTTTCTGCTAGATTTATTTTTTAAATTAAAGACAATGAATCAAATAAGCTTATATTTAATATAAATATTAAACCAATTACTTTGCCAAAGTCGAAATAAGCAAGAAAGTGTAATGAATTCAGTACTATTAAGTCAATAAGTTGGAGACAATGAAGAATTTTACCTATAAAGAGTTTTTGACATTTTGACCAAAGTATTACTGACGTTGATGATAATGACGATCTGGTTAAGTGAAGAACGTGTCTAAAAACTTTTTAAAGTGTAATTAAGGATAGGCTAACTATTACTTTCATTGGTTATAACTTCCTACACTTTTTGGGATACAACTTGCGCTTTATCAAAAACACAAAGACAAAATGTCGTGTTCCTAAAACATTTATTAATTCTTTCATTTGTCACGGTGTTCATCATCTGTAAGACCTTTTTATTCAGCACCTGGGTCGTAGTCCAGAGTCTGTACACCAACTATAGCGGCATCCGAGACTCCCCCGCTATTTTCCACTGACACTTTCAACAAGTACAAACTATCGGGCTCCAAAGAGTGTAGATCGATCACGACGGGACTTCTTTCAGGCGTGTCTGCTAGTCGGAAGGTAAAATTGAAGTACTGACCGCCGTCCACGTAAAATGAACCCATCGGGCATCTGTTCTTGCTGCGGCTTTCCAAGCTCCACGTCGTCGAGAACGTCGTTACACCTGGGGTAAAAGAGGACAGCACGGGTGCGCCCTGTTCTGCAACAAACCGATGGTAAATGCGAATCACTGTTTCCATTTAGAGCTAGAGTTTACTTACTAACTGGTGGAAAGTCGTACTCGATCGAGATCAAAGGCCCTTCCTCGCTTGGTCTGTTGTTGAAGATGGCCCTCACTCCGAATTCGTAGACAACGCAGGGCGATACGAAGTCCAGGATTAAGACGTTGTCCGTGACGTATACGTCAGTCAATTCGCCGCTGTCTTGGTCGTCTATCGACACACGGTAACGGTCAGCGCAACTGCTGAACTGTTCGTTTTCCAACTCCCAGGATAGCTGAAGAACGCCGGAGACCCTGCTTACTCTGAGGGATCTCAAGTTGAGGACAGTTTCTAGAAAAGTTTACTCGAAAGATCAGTGAAATTTATGGTGAAGTGTAGCGTTCTTACCTGACGGCATAGGCATCCTAGCTATGAGGATGTGACCTGGACTAGATAAATCTTGAGAAAGGGCGTATACTGTGAAAATCCAGGATTCGCAAAAGCTGATGAAGGATACGTCTACAAAACGGTTTTCAACGTACAAATCGTATGTTTCGCGACCTTCCCGGTAGATGTTAATGTGGTAGTGCGTGATGTAGCAGGTTTCCTGCGGGGAATTGGTCCAGGAGAGCGTGCCATTTCCGTAGAGGATAAGGTTCTGCACGTCTTTGGGAACTGAAAATCATCGAATTTCTTTCATAGACTGATTTTAATGTCTAATAAACGTAATTTAGCTTAAAGTGTGTTCATGGATTTATATGTTCTACCAAAATCCTGTCTGTTCTAGTTTCTTGATTGGGTAATAAGATTCGTACCATATTTGACATATTTTGAGCTAAAAGAATGGTTAATCTACATTTTTACTAACACTGACTTTTCAATATAACCATGCACTATAGATTATCACTTATCTCAAGATAAACATTAATGGGTGTGTCCTATCACGTTGGTTATGTGGAAGAATTCATCTCCATCTCAATTAAAATGTATGTTTCACTTACCGCAGTCATACTGGGATAAAACACCACTAACACAGAACACTACGAATATAAGAAAGAAGTCCCCACGAATCATTTTCCTAGTTTTTTCCAGAGTCGCCTAAAATAATAATAACAGCTGGTTACTAGAGGAATGATAGGAGATCCAAATCTTTTGAAGTATTGAAACAAAGTGCCCAGTTTCTGGAAAAAGCAGAGCAAATACTTATGTAAAATATGTGATAGAATATTATTCGTTTCAAGTATCTAATTCACTGATTTATCTATACAAATTAGAGTGCGACTCGTTTTATTTTATCAATAAAATGACGTTTTTATTAAAACATCTTGAAAGATGTATTCTACAGAGGGTAATATTCTCCTAGAGGGGCTCCTGCTCTAGAATCACTGATCTTCAATATTTATTTCTTAACAAAAGTTATACAAAAAATAGTTTTTGGAAAGCTGTCATCAAGATACAGTGCTGCATGTTACCGTAGCTTTTAGTTAGTTTTGGGTTCAATGAGGCTGCTGCTGTAATTGTTTATAGTCCAGACGATATCTGTTTCAAAAAGCCATATTTGGGTGGATCGTATATCCACGGAGATTTTTGGCTTTTTGGCTTTCAAATATCACTAGAAATGAAAATTTTTCTATGCGCATAAAAAAAACGTGGGCTTAACTTTTGGCGGCACAATATGTTAAAAAAATTCGAAAAATGTCATATTTTTCTTCCTATTT